GACGACGATACATCGGAAACCGTGGAAAACAATTATCAACGCTAATATATGAAACTCCCAGTCCATGCCACCCTGAATACTTTTGGGCTATTGCGGACAGCGGTGCAACCCAAATATATCATGCTCGTGATGTAGGAACCAAAAACGTAAAAGGAAAGGAGAAAGGAAAAGAAGATGCATACAGACGAACGGGAAGCAAGGGAAAAATAGTAACGGATTAATCTAGAACCACGCTGATGGCAAGAACCCAAACCCCGTTTTTAAATGCCACACGGTCCAAACAACACAAATGCCAAAGTAGAGTGAAAAAAAAAGAAAAAAGAAAAAGAAAAGAAGAACAATAACGTAATAGAGCTATATCATACATCCCCTGGAAATCCTCCTTCTAAGGTTCTGTAAGCATAGAGCTGGAATAAGGCTTAAGAAAGTAAATTCTTGAGCGATGGGCTTGCGCTGGCACCAGAACCGCCATTTGTCCCGTTGACATTCGTATGCCTGCTGCTGCTCGTCGGACCTGCGGGCGCGATGACAGGTGTATCGTCTAATTTCACTGGTGGAGTCCGACCTCGTGGATCAACATGTGCTTGCGAAACCGGAGGCGACTGCGTTGGCGCACTAAGAACGCGATCGACAGAGTATACACGTGCCGGTGGTCCCCCGTTCAATGCACTGAGTGAGTGTTGCGGGGAGTGTCGAACCATCGTAGAGTGCACATCAGGAGGTGACGCCGATGGGGCGTATGGTCGGGGCCCCGCCGGGTGAGAAAGATGAGGAGAGGGTATAGAGACTGGTCCATAGGGGCTCTGGTGAGTGGGAAACGGCTGGGGGGGTGGAGGAGGAGGATGAGTTCCGCTCGTGTAATGATGCGGCGGGGCATGGTGTGAAGGAGCGGGCTGGAAGCCATTCATATGGTGCGGTGGGGGTGGAGGCCCTCCGCGGTAGCTAGCAACTGGAATGCCATTGCGAAGCTTATCCCCATAATCGCCGGGACGCTGTTCATATCCCGGATACCATTCAGGTCCATTAGAAGGTGGCGGACCAAGAGGCCTAGGCAACACCCCAGTTTGAGGAGGATGGGAATGAGGGCCGTAAGGGTGGCTGTGATATTCTGGAAGACGTGGTGCGGGGAGGACTGGCCGCTGAGCCGAGTAAGGAGACGGTCGAGGCTCTGGAGAGGGCTGGGCAGGACCGGCAGGTATCTGTTTGAGATGGCATTTATGACACTCATATGACTCCTGATTCTGTTGGCCCAATGATACTTCGGCATTACCCGCTAGTCCATTCCTATCTGCGGGATTGAATTCACCGTTAAGCTTTGTGAGAGAATGCTGAGAGGGGTTTCGATGAATATATGGTGGGCTTGCTGAGGCCGCAGGCGGAAATCTTGGTTCATTCATCCCAGCTCCATTGAGTAGAGGTGCCCTGTGATCTGCAGCTGTTGTTCGCTGCGACTTATCGATAGGCCACCACCGAGGGGTGTATGCGGTAGAGCAACGCGCACATTTTCTTGTTGCGTCCGGGCCAGTGATCTGGGCGGGTGCATGGCTTTCGGAATCAATATCCATCTCGTCTGTAGTTTCCTCAGCGGACACCGCGGTGTTCTTAGAGGTATCCTTCGTTGTAGGCGGAGGAGCGGTAACGCCATTGACAGCGGATGCCCGTCGGTGTCCAGCCGACGTCGCACTGTGTTGTGATGCACTAACAGACTGCTGAACATACGCTGCTCTACGCAGAGTCCCAGTCAAGGAAAGGTCGGCTTGTTTGTAGTTTTGGACAAATCGCTGGAGAGCGTTGATGCCTTCTTCCTCCGTCGGCTCGCCTACTGCATGAACGACAGACGGTACGATGTGATGGGGACACCAAATCCCTGCAGAGGCTACTCCTACCTCATCCTTGAGTCGTACAGTTTGCACAGTATCTCTCTTAGAGCTCTTAACGGGTGTGATATCGAAGCCGAATGTGTACTCCGCCTGGAACGCGCAACCGACATGGAATTGAGCATTGCAGCCGCTGAAATGGCATGGCACACAAGCACCATTGTTTGACTTGCAGATTTTGCAAACCTCGCGGTACTTGTCTGCCGGAATGAGTGCAAATCCTTCAGCTGGTTCAAGCTCTTTGGAGTTGGCAAACTTGATCTCAGGAGTCCAAACCGCACAAGCGACATGTACCCAGTTGTTACCATCAGTGCGCTTCAGCGGTTCTCGAGGGCCGATCGGCTTGCCTACAGCTTCCTGCCTTTGTCGATAAAGCTTGATAGCTTCGCTAACCATCTCCTTCTCTAGCCTCTCCTTTTCCCGATCCCGCTCAGTCTTCTTCTTGTGTGTCGACCTTGGAGCTTCCATCAACTCATGCTCTGTCCAGGTCACAGGACACAAAACACACTCGTAACAAGTCGAGAACAACGGATTTCTGTCATTGGTACACATGTCGCATAGCCATTTGGCGCAATTCCGTGACGGGCTGACTCCGTAGCAGCTTCGATGAACGGTTAGCCGACAATCCCTACAGGATAAATGTTGATCACCCATAGGTTCCATCTTGTTACAGACGGCACAGGGGAGTGTCTTAGCCTTGGGTGGGTCGGGAACAATCGGCGCTGGTTCCGGGGCCTTCTCTGGTGCCGGCTTCTTCCTCGGTGCCGGTTCCACTGATGTAGCAGTCGAAGTCGCGCCACTGTCTTTATCGTTGATGCGTCCCTTCTTTTTTGTGGTCTCCTGTACTTGAGGGTTGGCTGTCACCGGAACACCAATCGAGGCAGCCGTCGCAGCAGTCGCACTATTGATGCTAATCGGAGTCTCGGTGGAAATAAGGAGCTGTGTCAGCAGTTCTTCATCAACACGCCGGCGCCACGACTTGTTGCCACTTTGAGATATTTTCTTGGCGACTTCATCGACATTCTCCCACTGGATACCATATTTTCTCCATAGTAGAGCGCATCGTAAGCAGAGAGCTACCGTAAGCTGTGGGCCCTTATCTCGTTGCTTTGCGGATGGTTCGCTTGGGGTTGTAGTTCCGGGCGGGATCCCAGGGGCACGCCGCCACTGACGTGAAGTACGCGTAGAGCAGAACTTGCACTGAAAACCACGCTTTTTCTCAACGGCCTTCTCATTATCATAGGCAGAATCATCATAATCATCTGCCACGTCATCCACAAGCTTTGCGGTGTTGTTCCGTTTGGCTTCCTTCTTGCCCCGCCTACCTTCATAATGATCCCAAATCTGGTGACCGCGGGCTGTCTTCTTCCACATGTAGTAGAACCGCACAATTTGATAATGTGGTACAGTACCGACGTGTTTCGTCAGGTTCCGCCACTCCGATCCGTACTTCGCAACGCCCTGTTCGAAAGCTTTTACTTCTTCAGGACGCAGATGGGGTTCCTTTAGATCCTTGTACTTGTTCATCTGCTTCAATTTCGAAAGAGCAGTCTCGACATCGAAACTGTTTGCATACAGCAGCTCCAAGGCCTTATCCAGAAAATTTGTCGAGTACTTTTCGACCCCAAGATCAGGCGCTATCTCCTTTGCTTTAACCATATAGTCGTCGATGAACTTCTCTCGATCCGCAGCGCTGAGATCCGCACCAGGCGCATCGTCTTCGCCCCGAGAGGGTATTTGGGTCGCAGTGGGCATCTTGAACATTAACTCCGCCGTGCGTACCTGCTTACCGCTCACAGTAACCGGCTCGTCTTCGCCGCGCCGTACATATCCCTGCGGCTCATCCATAACCCATTTTGGTCTGTTTGCCTTCTCTTGCTTCGCAGCTTCAAGTGCAGCTAGGGCCTCTTTCGAGAGCTTCGAGTCCTTACGACCTCCAGAACTTTTCATATATTTCTTCTTGATATCGGTTGGCTTGACATATTCCACAGGGCGCCTGGCCAAGGGTTTACGATCGCCTGGAACCGCGGTCCCAACCGAGAGCTTGCTCGAGGATATATCCGGTCGTCATAGTCTAGCGCATCTTCAACACGGCAGTGTATGCCCAAATAACGGTAAGGCCACATCCTGGCCTGCGCAACCTGTTCTTCTGTGGCTGGCCGAGGGGCTTCTTCTTCGACAACGGCAGGGGTACTGCTTGTTGTGCCGTTCGCGCCGTTGGGCTCTTCCTCCTCCTCCTCGACGATTTCTTCCTCAACTTCCGCTTGGGACTCTCCAAGGATTGGAGTGTTTCGAGCCTCAAGTTTCCGCTCCTGGGCACGACTGCAGGCCGCACAAGCCCATGCAAATCCACGAGCGGGCTTCTTGGTTAGAACAGGACGTACACAATACATATGATACGTATTGTGGCACACAGCGCAATCCACGGAATCAGTACTACAAAATATGAGCATATGATAACATCGACTCATAGGCATAGTCATACGTACCTCGCAGCATACAAACTGCAGCGCTTGCAGGTTTTGACGGCGCTAGTCAGTTCTTTCCTTTTACCGATCTCGACAAGAACAAATTTCCAGCGATCATCAAGGACTCTTTTGACATTCGCAGGGACGTTGATCACTCTTTTTGTAGGAATGACCTCATAGTACCGATGGATATATCTGTCAAACATCTTGTCATACCAAAAACAGTCCCGAGTCTTCCTGTACTCCTCAAGATCGTCAATCTCCGAAAGATGCTTAATCTGACACTTTCCCCGTAACGAAGTAAGCGGGCATGTATCGGAATGCATGGATGCAAACACAAGTCTCGTATCTGCAACCTTGCGCTGTATATCACGTGGCCTGTAATACCAATTAACGCGCACTGCCTCAATGGGGCCAGAAGGCACATCCTTGTTTGGAATGAACTCCATGATACGTGCCAAGTAATACGGTTCTCCTGGGGGTTCACAGATGAGGTAAACGTGGTCTATACTCAAGTCTCAGTAACTTCCGAGATGTTAAACTCGTTCCATAGAATGAACAAGTTGGGAATAGAAAGAAAAATAAAACTAAATAAAAAAGAACTGACCGTTTACGGAAAACGTTGTGCCGTCATCAGCTATTAGTTTTCCATCTTCTAGATGAGCGCCTCGATTCTCGAAAGAGACCATGTTCGAGTTTGAGTCATTCTGCCCTTGACTGGCGCCGGGCGCGTGGTAAAGATCTTCTTAGATGCGCTCCCATTTGCAGAACTGGAAGTCGTAGCGCTGGCCGGTTGCTTTCGTTTTCTTGAATTTGAAGCACCATTGGCTTCCTCCAGTTTTGCAGAGAAGGACGAGGTACCAGGAATTGAATCTTTGGCAGCAGAAGCGGGACTAGTGGTTCCATTCACCGCCGTTTGACTTTTTCGAGAATTCGAAGATGGCGCTGATTTTTCGCCATCCGTTTTAGTGCCATTGGTGGATTGATTAGGCACACCGTTAGTTCGCTTCGCAGCTTTGGTTGCGGGTTGAGCGATTTCCAAGTCCATGTCGATGTCACGGTCCTCCGCGTAGTTGGGGCGAGGAGCCGCATTACGACCTCTGGAGCGCGTCCCATAGGGCGCAGGAGTGGCGGAGGTACTAGGCGGCTCCGTACCCGCAACTTCTGAAGTTGAAGTACTGGCAGTCATGGGTTGGGACTGCCGTTCGTTGAGGGTGGCGAGCCCTTGGGGGGTGGGAGAGTCGGCAGAACCCGTTCGGGATGACTGGCCAGGGGTGGGCATGCGACGTTGACCCGCGGCAGTTGCTGCAGCGGAAGAGGAAGAATTGGGCCTCACGTGGTGTTGCTGCGACTTCTGGGGCGGTGACCTATCCGAGGCCATGACCAACCCTCAGACGCGACAAAAACAAAAGCTAAATCAAGATGGGTTGGAGGGTGGCATATAACCCCCTCAAGTGGTGGCGTCAAGGCCTTGCAAAACTGCCTACAACACGGTGGTGTGAACTTCAGCAACAAGCCGTCGCGGTTAGTCGAGCCCTCATAGGCGTTGAGTTTGCAGATGGGCGGACGTAATAATCGTATGGATCAACCGAATGGAATATGAAGGGGGGGAAGTAAAAGTCGGAAGGGAGACGAAAAGGCCCTGTGGTGCGGTGTTGACCACACGAAGGACTGAAAGTGATACTTTGACGACGGATCCCAGTTTTCGGTAATAACTTTCCCTCTTTTCTTTTCTCCCCCGTTAAGACTCCTCTAATTCCCGCAAGGGAGTGGGAAAATCAGTGTTGTGCCAATGTCGGAAAATGAAATGCACCAGATGTGCGGGAGGAATATCAAGATCGACAGGCCCCGAAATATGACAAGAATAGACTACTAAGTGGACGTGAAAGAAGTCCGTGGTAGCAGTAGGGGAAGCAGAACACTGATGTGTGGAAGATGTACAGGAGCAGGATGCGATAAAGCAAAGAAAACCAAAAAGGTAATCAAGGAGGTACGAAGAGAAGAGAAGGAGAGACAGAAGGGCCGCTGAAGCTGTCAGAATAGCCAAATGAAGGGAACGGCGGTAGAAGAAATCAAGCCACTAGGGTGGACTCGTGGGGTGAATGCTCCAAATAGCAAATGGATCAGTAGGCCGTAACCAACAGAACGGAACTAGTTCGTAGTTCGGCCGTAGTTAGAAGGTTTGACCAGGGCTACCGAGACGACGAGGGCCGAAATGATATAGGCACAAGGAAGGGGGAAGAGAAGAACGGAAGAGGGTAGACTAACATAAGTAGAATTGGGATGAGAGAAACAAGCAGAGGAAGAAGTGGGACAAGAATGGAAAAGGCGACAAGCCAGAGAAAGAGAGAGTAGAGAAGAGAGGGAAGAGAAAGAGACAAGAGAAAGAGACAAGAGGAATCAGGAAAGCCGTCCAGGATCCCGACCAGTCCACGTCCTCGCCCCTAGTCCCGATATGTTAATATGACGGATCCTCCATCCACCAAGAACCAGAGAAAATCGCGATTACTCTCCTTTCCTTTTCGTTTTATGGTTTAATACATGGTCCAGTGTCCCGGTGCTTTGGCTAGCCTTCCCGCGCCGCTAAAGGGTTTTCTATTTTTTTTGCTTTTTTTTCCTTTTCCCTTGGGTGGGTGGTAGTGCCTCTAGTATAGCCATTACTTTGTTCCCCTTACTCTATTAATGCGGTGTTGTGGCCCGTTGGGTGATCTACGTGATTACTGGGTTTAGCGGGAATACATTTTAGCAATATCACGGAGCTTGTCGCTGGTCTTGTTAGAAAGGGATTGTGTGGGCCGAGCGACCCGATGTAAAGAATGATGTTGATACCCGGGAGGGGCCATGGAAAGGATCAATTAGGACGAGGACGGGGCTCGGTGGAAGGGGATAAACCAGGAGGACTCGTGGAGAGTGTCTTAAAGGGGAAAACGAAAAGAACATGGAAGAAAGAAAGACAGGCAGAAAAAAAAATGAAAATGAAAATGAAAACCATGCAGGACGAAAAGAGAATTTTCTATGTTTAAATATAAAAGATGGCCCAAACCAGACTAGCATTTCCGTTGTTCATTCATCTGCTCAGGTTTGTACTCCATTGAAGAAAAATAACAGGCTGTCCCCCCCCCTCGAAAATGAAGGAGAGGGGAGGAGGGGACGGAAGATCAAGTAAAAGTGAAATAAGGAAATAAGGAAAGAGGGTATGGACATTGGAGACACATAGTCTGTGGCAGGAATGTTGTCACGTAGGGCAGCGCATGCGCGGATCTGGAAAATCCCAAATGCCAAGTCTATCGAGGGAAAAGCAGGCGCAGCATGTCTTGAAGCGGAGGAGAGGCAGTAGGCTGACTCTCATGCTCATATAATTACGAACTAATATTACTATGGCGCACTAAGATGATACTAAGTTGTCTGGATCCATGATACTCCTATCTTACCGGGGATAAATTCCCAGAAGGTAGACGGTAAGTTCGAAGTAGGGGTACAGTATACGAATGGGTGATACCGCATTATTACTGCAGGTCATTTTCTTTTTGGAAATCTGCCCACGTCTCAGAATTTGCAGAACAACTAACTTGACCTTTTTTGGGTAGGGATGATATCATCCGATAAATGATGCCGGGTCAGAGCACAGAGTTGATGCTGGTTAGCACAGAGGCTTACTCTTGGGAACTAACTACTAGATAAGCTAGGTATATTCAGATAGCTACATATTTATTGGTATGAAAACGGCCTTGGGGCTAGAGATGAAGCTCGTCGGACCTATTTTTCCCCTAGGTGGCGGTTAAGTAACGGTAATAGTAGCCCTCGCCAGCGGCCAAACAACTTAATCGATAGTGCCTAGAATAATATTTTACGAGGGGGGATGTGGAGGGGCGTATTTTGCAAAATGGATTGTACAACCGAGCGATCAGAGAAGAAGGGCATGGATGGATACGTATCTCTGAAAATGGTAAGGTTCTACCTACTACTTAGGTCGACGACCGAAAACTCGGTTCAAAATGACCATAGAGAAAAGGGAGCATGGTGCAGGTCCCATGGTTCCATTACCTGCAGGCTAGGCGGTTAGCGGTGATTAGCAGCTACACAGTAGATCCTCAATCATGGGGGTTCTTTATGTAGACCACAGCTGATCTGTCACGACAATGAGGTAGCCTATCAAGGATAATGGCGTGCCGATACTGACGGGAGGTAAAACAAAAAAAAAATATTGTTTCGTCCGACTGAAAGGGGGCCATCACAGTAAGGTTGAGGTGATGATAACACATTCCGGTGGCCGCGGAGGAAAGCCCTTAGCGTCATTTATGATTTTATGTAGGGTACTGAGGTCTTACTGGGGTCTCCCCCGCGAGGACGGACCTTCTCTGGCTCGATTTTTGTCTTGGCTATCCTTCTCTTCATTATGAAACCGCAACGGTCTTATTAACAAACGCAAGCCGTGTATAAATTGGGTCAACAGCCGACAGTCAATCAATAAAATCTCAGTTTCATTGCCTCCGATCCAGTGCGCTGTGATCATAAAGGTCCTAGACGTTAACTCTAAACCGGTCGAGCGACCTACGTACCTTAGGTACTTGTTGGATCATATACCACCATTGACTCGGGCCAATGACAATCACCGCAACAAGAGACGAATTCTCCACGGCTGATGATTTGTTGCCCGGTAATTGTCCTGACCTTTGCGTTGCCACATTATAACCTGCCACACGACCGAAACAAAATGTCCGTCTCGGGTAAGGATAAAATTGTAGGGAGTGAGTGTCAACAATATTAGTATATTAGTAGTATCAGTAGTAGTCTAGCGTCTGGTGCATTTTCGACTAAAAGAAGCCTTGACGCCGCGTGTCCTTTTGGGTTTGATTGAGTGCAGCCTTATATCTAGCAGAGAGTGATCAAATCTATTACTAGTACCCTTAACCATGACATGGTTCAAGAAGGCCAACGCCAGGCTGTGAGTACGATTGTACCAAAGAATATCTATCATCGCTTACTGTCCAGTATCGAATTATCATCTCTCGTCATCTGGCGGTCTACCCAATCACATTAGATATCAAACTTAGCTCGCTAGGCTTAAAACATAAAAATATGTTGGCAATATGAATCTCTTTTGGCAAAGGTGAGAGGAGCTTAATCGCTTCCGAGAAAAGGCAAGAGAATGTACTCCGTATATTCTTTCAGCCATTTCCCTCCTGCTTATTTAGGCAGTGAAAGGCGGATTCGATTATGTCCATGAGTCGTGAGAGCATAATAATAAAAATAAAAATGTAATAAATTGCTCCGTACGGAGTAAGAGTATTACCCAGTAGGACCTTAGTAAAAGGTTCAAGTTACTACTTAGTTTCGGCCGTGGTGGTCACATCCAAGTGGACCACGGATGAGTTTTTTTTTTTTTTTCTGGCATCCATCCTTCTGGGAAGCCCATGGCCTTTCGCCCGACTCACCCGTGTGTGGTAACATAAATTTCCACTTTCTTTCTTTTTCTTTTTCTTTTCTTTTTTTTTTTTTTATACAATACGCGATTATACAAAAAAGGAGAAATCACCCAGATCCTTCTATATTTATGATCCTCAGTGAACTAGTGAGTTAGAAGTGAGGGGACAATGTAAAGAAGACATCCGGCATCAAGGGGGACGTCAATAACTAGTACGGAGCACTCCAAGCCACTCGTGTACACGGTTGCGGAGCATAACAACCAGGGCAAATTAGTCAGTAGTGGGAGGAAAGTATCATCAGGTGATCATTGGCAACGCCTTGTGCAGGGTATAAACGACCCTTTCGACCTCTCAACCCGAGTAGAAGCGACGGAGAGGAAGACTGAGTAACTAGAAAACAGGATATGCCCAAAGCCAAAGATAGTATCTAATACTCTATGGTATACACAAATTTCTTGTGTCGGATGTTGCATGGAATTATGAATTATTCACACACTTACCACTAAAATATTTTATTTAATCTTCAGAGGACACGGAAAATAGAAGGCATGGCGAATGGAATATGTCTGTGCTTGAGGGCGGCGTCCAGCTTACTGGACCCAAGGGTGGGCTCCCATTAGCCCTCTGCAAACATGGTGGACAGGTAGTTAAATTACCGCGTTGGGTACAACTTATCCGGGTGAGTTATTGAACTAAAGCAAGCCAATCTTTGTTGGGTTAGGCGACTGCCGCGACTCATCCCTCAATGGGCTTGCTGATCACCAGGGCTCCGGTTAGCGGATGAGACGATCCAGGAACGTTTCGCGCTGGGAATTGGCTGCATTTCCGATCAGCCTTGGAGCCTTAGGCAGAAACAAGTGTTTGTTTATTGAAAGCGTTCCAGGAGCCAATGATAAGTCCCAGGGGCTTTTCTGCCTCAGGCTATGGAGACTGGGGCTAGGTGCAATTGCTACTACTACTAGTAGTACTAGTATCCCACAACGACCGCGTTGCGCGTTGCTGCCTTTCATTGATCGTGATTCTTACCTCATACTTAATTATTGAATTTTCTACTAGTATTATTACCAGCATCTTACTTACTTAGAAACCAGGAAAGTTTCTCAGAACACCTTCTTGATGCTGACCGTAAATAATCAGCATATAATTTATTTCTACTAGAGGTGCTGAGGTGAAATACAAGAGCACGTGCTGTCGGTATTTGTGAATGTAAACAATTTATTTCCAAGCAGCTGTTGCCCCCGGATCTACTGTCAGCTGTATTGGGCATTTTCATGGGAGCTTGTTTACCATCACCAGTTGTCAGGTGATACATGCCCAAGACATGTCAGCACAGTCGGATCAGCCATTTCAGTTCCATGGCTTCCAGACCACCATTGATGTTGCTCGTCAGCAAAATAACCAGGACAATGCTCATAAAGTTTCCGTTCCAAGTTACTCTACCTCTACCAGCCACTTGAGTTCTCGTCCAGTCGATTTTGTCCGACCTTCTGTGGTCCCTTCCAGGAGTCGTCTAACTGCCAGTGAGATCCGTCCTGTGGCGGCAAGTATATCAGAAAAAAAGGAGGAGCAGCAACCGGAAACAGCTCCCAGTGAAGACTATGTCTATGACCCTTGTTTATTCTTAGATGATCCCCGATATGGATTGTCACCAGCGCTAGTGTCTAACTTTGCTTCTGTTGGTGTCAGAAGCATCTATCCATGGCAGGCGTCATGTCTGCTTGCCCCGGGTCTACTTGAGGGTGAAAAGCATTTGATCTATACGGCCCCTACAGGAGGAGGGAAGTCTCTTGTAGCTGATGTTCTGATGCTGAAACGTATCATCGAGAATCCTTCTCGTAAAGCCATTTTGGTTCTTCCATACGTCGCACTAGTCCAGGAAAAGTCGAAATGGCTTAAACGCATGGTTCAGGATGTTGAAAAACGCATCGACGACATCGATGATCAAGTAGCTGGCGCGATGCCATACCATCAACGTTGGAAGAAGCTACAAAAGTCGATCCGAGTCACTGGTTTCTTCGGAGGTAGCAGGTCAACCGCTACCTGGGCAAATACAGATATTGCGGTTTGCACAATTGAGAAGGTTTGTCAGCGCTGTATTCAGTTGTATGCTGGGCATAGTTAAAACCCATATATTAGGCTAATTCACTCATCAACACTGCTATCGAAGAACACAGCATCGGAGACTTGGGTGTCGTTGTCCTGGACGAGCTGCATATGCTTGACGATGAGCATCGCGGGTATCTTCTGGAACTAATGGTCACCAAGATACTTCTGCTGCAGCAGGACATCCAGATCATTGGCATGAGCGCCACTTTATCGGTATGGCCATTCTTTGTTACCAATGTCGATGTTTAGAAAGCAGGCTGACAGATCATCAGAACACTGAATTACTTGCAGAGTGGATGAATGCAAACTACTACATCTCAACATATCGGCCTATTCCGATTGAGGACTATCTCGTATATGAGAACGCGATTTACCCCGCAGAAACCTCGAGGCAGCTATTCCAGACAATCACACAATCGCCATCAATGTCCACCGTATCCCTTACGGACACTATGCCTCCCCATCGTATAATCCAGCCCCCGACGTCTCAAGCATTTGCAAATCCAACCACAAATGCGATGGTAGCGTTATCGATCGACACGGCTGCTGAAGGATATAGTGCATTGGTTTTCTGCGGTAGCAGACAATCTTGCCAACTCCATGCCTCTATCATTAGTGAAGCAATGCCAGTACCAGCCGCAGTAGACCCAGATGAATTAAGCAGACGATTGGACCTGCTTGCTGAACTACGAAGCCTTCCAAGTGGTCTTGATCCAGTCCTCGAGAATACATTGGTCAGAGGCGTGGCTTTTTACCGTAGGTACTTCATGTCGACTACCGCTTCTCATTGATACGGACTGACCTTGTTCTAGATGCGGGCATGACAACAGAAGAACGTGATTTCATAGGGCAGGCTTACGATCATGGCGTTTTGAGGGTTCTCATAGCCACTTGCAGTCTTGCGGCCGGAGTCAATCTTCCTGCCAGGAGGGTCATTATTAATGGTGTTCGGATGGGACGTGACTTGGTGGGACCAGCAATGCTGTAGGGACAACCCTTTGCACATTTCAAAAATCCTCGTGCTAACAGTTGAAGGCGCCAAATGTGTGGGCGGGCTGGTCGAAAGGGAAAAGATGAGGCAGGCGAGACCTACCTCATTTGTGGAAAGTCTGAGCTACAGACTGTCTGCGACCTGCTGGAAGCCGGTATGCCAGCAATCGAGAGCTGTCTAACGCCAGAGAAGCGTGGCCTCAAGAGGTAGGTAACCAAAACGAACGAGAACTAGTCATGAGCTCATGCCTGTTTAGGGCAATTCTGGAAGCTATAGCCACGGGTCTCGTCTCTGGTTTTGAAGCGATCAAGGATTACGTGAAATGCACCCTTCTTTACCGGACCACGGACAAAAAGATAGCGTATAGCATTATGAACTCTGCGCTCCAAGAATTGGTCAGCGAAAATCTTTTGCATCAAAACGGTGATGAATCATATGTTGCGACCGGGCTTGGCCAAGCTATTGTTGCATCTGCATTCGCACCTGAGGATGGTCTTTTTATCAACGAAGAGCTAAACCGAGCGTTACAGGCTTTTGTGATGGATGGCGACATGCATATCTTCTACATGTTCACCCCTCTCCAGGTAGCGACGACCACACAAATCGATTGGCCCATTTTTCGAGACCAGCTAGACAACCTTGATGAAAGTGGGCTGCGTGCTTTGCAATTTGTTGGTGTTCAGCCGGGTTTTGTAAACAGAATGTATGTTGATCTGAACATAACGCAAGAGCATACTAATAACGCCACAGGGTTCAAAGCGGTTCATCTCTCAAAGAGGACACTCCAGAGCAGATAAAACTGGCCGCCGTCTACCGTCGCGCTTACACCGCGCTTCAGCTTCGTGATTTGAGTAATGAAGTTCCCCTATCGGTGGTCGCCAGCCGCTACCGGACCCCTCGCGGGACAGTCCAGTCATTGGCCCAACACTGCCACGGGTTTGCCGCTAGTATGATCAAGTTCTGTCAACGCATGGGCTGGGGCATGCTTGCGGCAGTCCTTGATCATATGCGGGTTCGGTTGGAAGCCGGTGCTCGCGCTGATTTATTGGAGATGGCTCAAGTCACCTATGTCAAAGGCCGGCTAGCTAGGTTACTACGAGACAAGGGGTTCCAGAACTTGAGAGCGTTGGCAAAGGCCAATGCAAATGATCTTGTTCCCATATTAATGATGGTAAGATGAATATCGCTCTGAAACAGAAGATCATTAACCGGCACCAGGTAAATCCACGAAAAGCACAGAGAAGCCAAGCTCACCCCTCAGAAGCGCAACGGTATGCCAAAAAGCTGCTTGCCAAAGCAGAAGTAATTGTTGCATCAGCAAATAAAATCTGGGGTACGTATAATTTTTCGCAACGTTCAGTATCTATCCTACTAACAATGCCACAGAACGTGAAATGCAAGTCGAATTGGATGAGTAACGTATGATACTCTCGTGTATATGAGGGTTAATGAACTGGCAAACTTTTGGAACTTTCACGAAAATGGGGTCACTCATGCTCAGTTATCGTATGGCACATTGAACGGGTTACTAGCATATATACATATACAAGGCTATGAAGTGTATATTCATAGAAGTTGAGACATTGGAGTGTATAGTTGATTTACTATAGTTTTTAGGTTACTAGAACTTATAGAAAGCAGCGTCTTCTAGTCAGTGAATATGATACATGACTATAGTAGTATCTGTGGCAACGCATTGGTCCTAAGGGAATCTAATAAAACTAATCTAAACCCCGTTTAGCGTATTCTGAGCCTTCATAACCTCACCCTGATCTACAAAATCCACAAGGACCACATTAGGCAGCCGTTTATACATGGACCGACATAAGTCGGACTGTGCCCCGATACTCCCATTGCCCGAGACAGCATTGGTCTTGGGCGCGCGGATCCGGTCGGGCACCAGGACCCCCAGCACATTGACATCTAGGAAATGATTGACGATATACATGCGCCCGTCGGCCGATGCTCCAGAAGGCCGATCGATATTGCAATTCGGGAACGAGGCATCCGTCACATCGTAGGGCGTCTCGAAGAAGTAACCGAATTCGTCCAATATATATGGAACGGATTTAGTGTCGGCGCCGTAATCTAGAAGCAATATGCTCAGCTCAATACACACGCCCTATCGGAACAAGACCAACGAAAATGTCTCATACACATAGTGGAGATTATATCTCCACTATATAGGTACCACTCAAGACATCCCCTCCAAAACACTCCCTAGTCCGTACTGAAAAGAAAACAAAAGGAAGACACGTGTACTTACCCAAAAATACCACAAGTCGCTTCCCCGTACTGATCAGGTCTCCCAATGTCGGCCACGAATCCATGGCCAGCACATCCGGCGACGAGCTCGGTATGAATGCATAATCCTTAATCCCGGCACCGGCGAATACCTCATCGAACCGTGATACGGGGAAGCCATCACCATTCGTAAGCAGTAAGGTGACCACTTCATCTGGATGGCTGTCCAGCCAGGTCTTGACCGTGCCCAGGAAGGACTCCAGGGTTCCGGCGTCCTCGAGAAGACAGGATGTATGGCATAATTGAATGGTATTGGCGTTGTCAAGGGCTTTATGGGTTTGGCCCTGCAGGAAGCGGATCCCCAGGTCAAGTTGTTCTGTTACCTCCAGGTTTTGATTATGCTGTGGGAGGGGGCCGACGAAGGGGCTGTCGTGGGCGCCAGTTGGGTGATGTTGGAATACTTGCGGGTGCAGAATGTGGATTGGCCATTGCAGGTTGATGGAGCGCATTGGGCGATTTGAATGGTGGAGAGGAGGAAGAGAGGAAATAAGAGGTAGGGGAGGATGGGATGTTTGTTAGAAGGCATGTTTATATTATATATGAAGGGCTACCAGTATCGCAAGGATATCATGCCTTGGCGTTAGACTGAAAGAATAATGCCATTTCTTCATTCAATTTTACCCTGGTGAAGGAATTTCGATTATTTATATCTCTGAATTTTTGCCAGAACTAGGGAGAGGGCTGAATGCTACCAAATGATCAAATCATGCAGCGCTGAAGAATGAATGTATAGCATGTGGCCTATCAATCCCTTGTGACTTGCCTTGTGAAAAGCGCTATAGAGAAATTCGGAGGGGAACAATATAGATAAAGGTTAATTTTCTCTTCAGGAGGATTAGTGCCACTAGAGGGACGGGACAGGGCAGCACTATGCCAAAAACCAGACAAGGGTCTTAAATGAAAGAATTGACCTTGTCCAGTCGATGTAACTTGGGGCCTGCGGGTGATGTGAATAGTAGTTGGACTAAGGCACCTTAAGGCACGCTGGTCACATGCTGACACTGGTAACCCACCCTTGAGCAAATTACTGAGGATACCCTGGATGAAGTATATAATATGACTAGACCACGGTAATACTATTCATATCAATAAGTGTAGTCAGCTGCAAAGAAACCCATCAACATAGGCCAGGAGCCCGCTTGCTACACGGCATTTCAGTGAATGCGATATACTCTACTCATTGAGTGGTACTGTAAAAGACTAGCCAGGATAGCTCCTATCCATAATAACTTATAATTCACACTTAAAGCATTGCGATGGCCCATCGGGTTAACATTCTGAGTCATTGTTGTTCTGCAAGCTGCTATAAGGCCTGTCTTGCAATATACTCCTTTGCATACAACGCGCATAGCACTTTGACTGATGGCTGAGGTATGATTAGATGCCCAGATTGCGGTAGATGAAGAGGGTCTGGACATCGAATAGGAGAATAAGGATGGTGTGAGGATAAGGAAACGCTCTCTTGGGACAAATCTCCAGCACCTCTATAGTATGTGTCAACAATGACATTAGTATTATGACTGACAAGCAAGAAAGGATGAGTTGTCGTGTAATTGGTAGCCACTCGTGGCTTGTGGGGCACCGCCCCCCCGGAAGCCAAGCAAAACCAACCAAATGTTGACCTGAGGCCGGAAGGGACTCTCAGCCTCCAGCTCCTCGTTACCTTCCGTCGATGATCTTCATCTTCCCCGACTTGCGACAAAGCCGAGCTCGCGGGTACTCTTGCTCGGTTTACACAACCACTTGCCAGTTAATTGCATCTAGATCTTGACTCAGTTTCCCATCGGGAACATTCTCCTGCTAACCAGTCGGATTGTCGGCAAGCGCTCCTCTGTGTGTTCCGCACCTAATATCCATCTATCGGCCCGCACTCGGCCAGTCGTTCACTGAAGCTTTGTGGCCTGAGATCGTGAGACAGTCATTAACCAGAACGTATCGGTGCCACACTTAAATCTTGATTCCGTGACCGCCTTTTCCTGCGATATTGTCGAAGCGATGGTCATTCGAACATATTGCTGATGAGCTCCATGATTGAGGGCAGTGATGACCGGGCACGAGAGGATGAGCTCGACTTGGGGGAAGAGGACGCGGGAGATGTTCAGCCAAAGAGTAACGGCATCTCTGTCGATGGGGTGTCACCTGAGGGGTATGGGGAGGGCTCAATGGCATACATCGAAGAGGATCTCCCTGATGTAGCCAGCCCAAACCATTCGTTTGAGAGAAGGAACGCCCAACTTGACGCCGGTACGGGCAATGTACCAATGTCGCCCCGTATCAGGCAGCTTGGTACTCCCGGAAGCGTCGACGAGACAGCTTCCACCCCGGATGATACTCCTTCTTTGCATGTGTGTTGCGACTGCTGTTTTTAGCCGGGCTATCCGCTGATCACTTTAGGATTCTCTTTTGTCATCGCAAAGTAGCAATGTTTTGGTCCTTCGAAGCTCGTCTCGCGCCAGTCCAAGTCCGTCGCATCGTCCCTTCGATCTCCGCTTCCAGTCCCGCCTTTCGTCTCCGTCTTTGAGCGGGGCTCGACCGTCGTCGCCGTTCTTCGCTCACATTCACTCCCGACAGTCATCGCTTACGAGCCGCCTCACTCCGGGTACCGTGGATTCCGATGCTGAGACTCCCCTAGGTCCTTGGGATATTGTGCGGTGGACTAAGTTAAGAAAGATAACTGGCCAGGCATTTTCGGAGGTCGGTAAACGTAATTTTGGCCATCCCACATGTTTGGCGGTCTCCACTACGATAGTGATTGGAACGTCCAAGGGAATTATCCTGGTGTTTGACTATCAACAAAGTCTCAAAGCGATCATTGGACAGGGGACTAAGGGTACGTTGGGAGCCTGCCCCGCCTTGTTGTTCTGACCTCCGTTGACTTCTACATATAGCTACCGAATGTGGAGCAATCACGTCGTTGGCACTATCCGCGGACCACACGACAATTGCCGGGGGACATGTTTCGGGCGATATATTCACATGGGAGATTGTGAGGCCGGCGCGGCCTTTTCTTCAAATACCACCTCTCTCCGAAACTCATACTGATACTCGCACTGCTGATGGCCACCTTCCTGGATCGTCTGTCATTCATGTAGGCTTCCTTGGCACAAGGCGCACTGCCCTCGTATCTGCCGACAATTCAGGAATGGCTTTTTCACATCTGGCGACTCGAGGCCTGGGCGCGATGGGACGGACAGTGAAGACAACAAGGATCCTGGGTCGTTATCCCCAACATATAGCGCACGGCAACCGGCCGCGAAAGCCAAGCTCTGTCCTTGCCTTTTCGCCCCTGCCGCTTGGAAACGTTGAGCAGCCAACCGATTCTTTGGGATTGGTTGCGATGCTTACACCATATCTCTTAGTTATTGTCTCAACAACACCTGTAGCACAGACCCAACATAAAGCTCCACGCCCAAAAGAAGTTGCCGCCCATGGCGCAATGACCGGAGCCTTGGCCTGGTTTCCAGCGATTAAGCTCAAGGGCAAGGATGTGCAAGTTTCGAAAACAAAGCTTGTTTATTGTTGGTCAAATGTGTTGACTGTCTTAGACGTGTCTGAGATTGAAGCAGCAGATGAATCACCCAGCAGGGACAGACCACCTAGCCTGGAGTTTAAGGCGCGGAGCAGATGGAAGGCCGAAGAAGCAATTGTTGCTGTGCAATGGCTGAGTCGTTCGGTCCTGGCAGTGCTCACCATAACGCAACAACTACTTATTCTTGAAGATCATTCTATGCGTGTAACGGATAGCATCGATCTTCTTAACAAACATATATACCATGCCGATTTGTTCTCCTCTCAGCTTCATTCTCTGGTCGAACAGTTCAATGAAGAAGATACTTCAATGCATGGCGTGGTAGCCGATGCTTTTTATATGAGCTTTCGCTCTTATAAAGGGCGTCTGTTTTTGTTGGGCTATAGCGATACACTGGTTGGAGCCCTCTCCAATTGGGCAGATCGATTACTTGCACTCATGGAAGCCGGAGACTTCATTGGGGCAATCCGATTAGCAACATCCTTCTACAAAGGCAGCGGAGAAAAGCTCACCATCGGGTTACCTGACGAAGATGCACTGAGGCAGCCTATCGTGCAAGAGAAACTCCTGGAAATGGTGTCAGCTTCGCTGAAGTATGCCTTTGGTCGAAACCAGGAAGCTAACACTGAGCGGCTGGGAAATCAACAGCTTGAGGAATTGGCCGAGGTCTCCATCTCGGCTTGTGTCTGTATGGACGATGAAGATTTCCTTTGGGATGAGGTATTCAACTGGTATGAGGAGCATGACTCACAAGGCGTCTTCCTTGATGCCCTTGAATCATACATAGTTGAAGGGACAGTGCGCACTCTTCCGCCTACTGCCGTTAAAGCGCTTATCAATCACTTTGCCACGAACCATACTGCCAGCCGATTGGAAGAGATAATTTGTCTGCTTGAGACGGCCACCATGGATATTGACCAAGTGACGACGCTGTGTAAACATTATAACTTGTACGACGCATTCATTTACGTCTGGAATCGCTGTGTAGGAGATTACGTGGGGCCTCTACAAGAACTCTTAGCCTTAGTCCCACCCCAAGGATCTTGGGTTAACGGGGGCTCGGTGGATGAACTTAAACGATATACGAACGCGATGAAGATGTTTCCATATCTCTCATTTGTCTTAACAGGCCGTGTATACCCTACTGGGAATGACATGGGTGACACCGAAGCTACTCAGGCTAAGGCAGCCTTATACGAATATCTCTTCTCTGGGAATCTGTCTGGGGCGGAATCAGGGGTTCACACTCAATCGAATGGGTTGTTCTCGGATCTGCAAGCTATCCTAAAATTCGATACCCCCAGCTTCATGAGCATGCTCAATGAAGCATTCGAGGATAGTTTCTTGAACGAACAAGAGCCAGACGAGACACCTTTCAGAGGAATATCCATCAATCGGCAATATTTAATCAGCATCTTGCTCCAGGTCATGACACCGCCAACCTTTGCTTCATCTGATACCATTTACCTAGACATGTTCCTTGCTCGCAACCTTCCTAAATACCCCCAGTACATTCTACTCTCTGGAAGTACACTCCACCAGGTTTTGGAGCGGTTGTGCCGATACCCAAACCAAGACATGGCAGAGGACTGCGAACTCAGCGCAGAGTACCTCTTATCTTTCTATCACCCTCCAGATATTCAGAGCATGATCCCGCTCTTTCGGGAGGCGCGTTTCTTCCGGATTCTCAAGTCAACCTATCGTTCCGAGAAGCAATTTCCTGAGTTAATTCTGACCTATCTAGAAGACCACAGTGGGCAAGAGGCGATTTTTACCTGCCTACAGGATTGCCTGCGGGCCGGCTCCGGGTTAGGGAAAAGGCAAAGGCGACATGTCATAGAAGTGATTAAAACTCACGCTGGCCAGATAGCAGGGATAGGTGTCCAGAAGGCCGCTCAGACAATGCAGGATTATGCTCCTGAAACGCACGCAGCGTTCCTCGAAGCTCTGGAAAACGATGCCTACGAGCAGTACCAGTACTTGACTGTCGTGGTTGACCCTACGACGCATCCCGGTGCTGAGCGGCGGCTTTCAAAGCCAGTAGAGAATTGGATGGTAGAGCGCTACGTGCAATTGCTTTGCAAGTACAACCCTTCACATGTCGCTGATTTTGTTGATGAGCTACGAGTTGGCGATGTTCGGCTTGAAGAACTGCTGCCTTCAATGGAAGAAAGTGGGGTAGTGGATGCTGCTGTTATTCTGCTGGCCAGGCAAGGCCAGATCAGAGCTGCTATGGACCGTCTCATTGCGCATCTTAAGACACTCGAGTCGGGGCTCGTTGGCATTCTCCGAAGTATACAGGAGACCCCAGACTCGGCCAGCACGGCAGAAGCGATTGACGACCTTGTTGAATCTCTAAACAAGTATGTGCGTGTTGGTACATGGTTGTGCCAAGGCCAGTCGAAAACAGCCAAGAAGCAGCGGAATGGCGAGAGGAATGGGATTGGAAAACATGCTGTTGACCAGCCTCTCTCGTTCGATGAGAAACTCTGGCTCGACCTTATTGAAGCTGTCGTCCGTACTGCCAGTAGTGTGTTTGCCCTGATCCAGAAGGAACACGCGGAAAGTAAATTGACCCAACTGGCACCAATGATTTCGAGGATGGGGAGCAATTCGACCCAACTAATGTCATCTGTCCGTACATTGGTACAACAGGTGTTCACGGCGCTGCTATCCAGCACTGTCCGGGTCGGCGGAGCCTCGACCGATCGCAATGACGTTGCCTTTCTCCGAATTCTGCGAGCATTTCTCACTCGCGCATCCCGCTGGTCGCCTTCGCTCCTTGAACTCCGCGCAGTCTTGGCTTCTATCTTCTCGGCTTATACTTACGAGAAGTCACTCCTGGCCCTGGCCAACGGGATGCTGGATCGAGATCTCTTTGTGCATGTGGACGAGGTAACGCGACTGCGTCAAAGGGGGTGGCGGCCGCGAGGCCAGGTGTGTGAGGTCTGCCGGCAGCGCATTTGGGACCCGGGGTTGGCTCTGAATTCTGGGAGGCTTGGAAGCAGAGGCAGGCGGATGCCCATCAACGCCGAATGTCACGACAAATTGAAGGGCGGCTTGACCCTGCGGTCGCCCGCGGGAAGGGCAAGGCGGCGGCAGTGGCCGAGGCGGGTCAGGCGGCACACTTCCATGAAGGACATGCGGACGTGGAGTCAGTAGGTGACATGCGGGGATCCCCAGAAAGTCGCAGTGAGATGCCGACCGGGCCCGCGGTGGTCTTTTCCTGTCGACACTTGTATCATCGACAGTGTTTGCTGAACTTGGACCATTCTGGGCACCCCAGTAAACGGCATTTCCAACGCGAAGGGTCTGACTGGGAGTTGTTGTCATGCCCCATCTGTCCTGTAAATAATGAATGAGTGTCACGATTTGAATCAAACCCATGTATGTATCTTTGCTTAATCCCCACTATGTGATTTCATTTAGTGATTCCTTTATACCCTTTCCCCATCAGGTTGGGTGGCACGATGAGGCCGTGGCAGTGGATAGAACCAATGATTGACTGATAGTTACTTCCGGAGGATTTAAAGTGAGACAAGTTTGGGGGTTAAACTTTTTGGCGGCGGTTAATCGAGTTGCTTAATTAAGTCAAAAACGAAGTCGTCCATGAAGATGGCCAAAGCGGGCCGATTTGGTTTCCAACTAATTTGCTCCCGATCAGCTGGTTTCCAAGTGACGTATCACAAGATGGGACGAGGAATTCCAATTAAACCCCCCAAAGAGGAACGGCCAACATCACATGGCCTCCTTCTCGACGGGCCTTCACCGTCAACCTTCCCCACTCGTCATCATCTTGACCGTTAAGAGAACCCTCGATCCTTGCGATCTGATTGACCCAGGCGTCTGTCACACTAATATCCATGGTGCGAGGCTGGCCATCATCGGAAATTAAAGACAAAAGAAAAGACCCTGACATCCTCCGTGCGCGGCGCGTCGTCCTGTCCATCGATCTATAAGATTCACTCTTGTGAGACGGCCTACGATAAAATGGACTTTTTGTTGCCCTCTCCAAACGGGCCCTCCGTTCTACGAACCTTGTGTCCCTCCAACCAGTTTGAAATATCCACGCCTGATGTTGCCAATTTGGAACCGTCTGTGGTCCAGGAACACCCCCTCTCATCCACCCCATTCCAGTCCACACTGGTCGTGACTCCAATTTGCCGCTCACATGCTTGCTCCATCTGCCATTCTGGCTACCCGCGCTACTCGAGAATATGCCTTTCAATGACATCCCTCTAGGTCTCAAGGCCTAGTCCGGTGGGCATATCATGGCTGACGCCACTTTTCACTAGTAGGTGAGTTTTGAGTTTCTTTTTGTCCCAGTGTGGAGTGGTTATTATGTGTACGTAGTAAGCGTATAGGATACATACATCGGCATGGCTATATATTGAACCTCCGACACCAGGGGGGAACAAAGATGTATGAAAAGAATGCCAATCTATAACATTCCTTTACCCATCCAGCGTTGGTTCATTCAGAGAGTGGCTTTGACACTGCCCTTCCTTTATGTTGCTTGAACAATAAACCTTTGAGGATAAAGTGCATTGTTCGAACACTCCTTTTATATCAAATCTCACTACCTACCTCTTCACGCAGCTTCACACATACCCTGTATATTCCTTTCCATCGTGATAGTTTAAGTCAAGAATGCATGTACTATCCACCCTTACCCAGGCTCTAAGCCTCTGGGCTCCCCTCGCCGCAGCCGCATACACACTACAAGATGACTACGGCACGGACTCAGCTTTCTTCGACAAATTCAGCTTCTTTACAGGCGCTGATCCAACCCACGGTTTCGTCAAATACGTCGATAGAAGTGCAGCCCAGAACGCAGGCCTAATAAATGCCGACGGATCCATCTACATGGGCGTAGACTACAAGAACGCCGCTCCAGACGGCCGCCAAAGCGTCCGAATCAGCAGCAACAAAGTCTACAACCACGGACTTTTCATCCTAGATCTAGCCCACTTGCCCGGCAGTATCTGCGGGGCCTGGCCAGCATAGTAACATCTCCCTCAATGCCCCTATTGCCTCTTCAATTCAAAGAAAATCAAAGCTAATGATATCAAAGCTGGCTCCTAGGCCCCAACTGGCCCAACAATGGCGAAATAGACGTCATAGAAGGCGTAAACGACCAAACTAACAACCAATACGCCCTCCACACCAGCGACAGCTGCACAATCAACAATGCAGGATTCTCTGGCTCCCTCCTCACAAGTAACTGCTACGTCAATGCCCCCGGCCAAGCCAACAACGCAGGCTGCGGTATCAAAGACAACTCGGCCCAGTCTTACGGGAACGGGTTTAACAGTGCCGGCGGCGGCGTGTATGCAACTGAATGGACTAGTGAGGCTATCAGTGTTTGGTTCTTCCCGCGTTCGAGCATCCCCGGTGATATCGGTAGTGGACATCCAAATCCGAGTGGTTGGGGAACGCCGTCGGCAAGGTTTGCCGGGGCTTGCAATATTGATTCGCATTTTAAGGATTTGCAGATTGTATGTGTTTCCCATCCTTTAATTTTTTTTTTCGGTGTTTCTAAAGTGATGCGGTTTTGTTGGTGGGATATTTACTGACTGCTATGTAGATCTTCGATACGACCTTTTGCGGGGACTGGGCTGGTAATGTTTGGGGGTCGAGTAGCTGTGCCGCGAAGGGGTCTTGCAATAATTGGGTGGCTAATAACCCTGCTGCATTCAAGGATGCCTTCTGGCGCATTAACTCGCTGAAGGTTTATCAGGGCGGGGCTGCGAGCGTTGCGAGCAATGTGACTGAGTGGAGGATGGATGCAAGTATCGGCAGACGTTCATTTATCAGACAGCGGAGGGAGAACGGGAGAAATTGACCTGGTAGGTTTGAGGATGGTGTATATCCCGGGTGGAATTTGATATACCCTGCGTTTTGTATGGATGGACTCTTACTTTTGTTTATGGATGTACATATGGATTTGATAGCTATAATGGCGACATTCCTTTTTCATTTAGCCCCAGAAAATACTAGACAATCAGGTAAACTATGTCAAAGAGTGAGGTATATCCAACGGAATATATACGTTGTGTTGTAAATATGCACCTTATGCGCCTGTAATTACACCAAGGAGGCAATGACAGTCGATATGTTGTCCGCTTACTGCGGTGGCTAATCGTGCAATGTACAGGATATCACTCCGTATATCCAAGTATATCTCTCTGATCATCAGTCAGCCGGCCCCATTCGAGAAGCAACCGAAAGAAATAGATCTCCATGTCTTCTTTTCGTAGAACTCGTTCAGCCCACTTGCGGCCTTCTTCTGCGATCCAGCGCCCTTGAAGATCGTGCGGCTCCATCATGGCTTTGGGGTGACCCTTGTCATCCACACTGACAGGTATGTCCACGCCACCAAAGTAAGCCAGGGTACTCCACAGCCCGTGGAGACGGATATCAATGGGGACAAAATGCAGCCAAGCTGTGATCCGGGAGTCGAACCATTGCCGAAACAGGCCTGTTTTGAATGGTAGGCTGTGACTTTGCAGGAAGGGAAGGAACCGGCCGCTAAAGCCAGCTCCATCTGCATCAAAGAGAAAGCGGTAATTCCAGTGACTTTGAAAGTCGACCCGACCTCCTGTGCCTAGTTCCTGCTTTTGGTCTTCACAGTCCGTTCTGCAGCGCACGATCGGGTCGGTAATGTGGACAGAAGCATTCAACCCGAGCTTCTCTGTAGGAGCCAAGCCGTCGAGAATCCGATATGAGTACGTATCAGGATTGTCTGCGGGCAACAACACTGACACTTTGTTGTATGTATTGTTGTTAACCAGGTGTGCCAGCCGTTGACGCGGCATTCCTTGCCATTGACCGTCGCGACTCACGCCTTCCGACGTGCCGCCAATCCAAAAAAGGCGGTTTTCTTTTTCCACATAGTCCAGATCCGGGTGCTCTTCAGAAGGCTCGTATTTTATCTTGTCCACGTAGTTCCACGGACTAGGGAATATGATGTCGCTAAATCCAGAAATCATGCTCTGGCTAAAAACCGGGGCAAGATCTTGGGTGACCTTGAACGATGCGGGTGAGACGAAAAATCCGTGAAAGGATGCAAGGTCAGGTTGGTGGCATATATCAGTTGCCACCGCCCAGTCTGACGGAAATTGTCCCATGGAGTGGGGACGAATACAGCCCATGCATATGTGGTGCCGATCCCACATTCGTCGAGATCGAGCTTTTGACGAATGAGGACAAAGAGCGCCCACATAACGATCGAATATATTTACAAAGGAGCTGTCGGTGAACATGGTCTCCGTCGTCTGATCTGCTGGCTCAATGGGCGCCCATCCTTCATCACGGTCGCTCGACCACCCATTTGTTAAACCCTCACTCGGAGGAGGTGCTTGCGATCTCGCTTGAGCCTTCAAAACAGACATTTTCTCCCAGGGCACAGAAACTCGTGGTTCATCGTTAAGATTGAAGGCTAAGTCCATGTCGGGAAGATGCTCAGAGAATTTCTCGATTATCTTAGCAGCACCGATAACCATCCAGGCATGTGTTGGCTTGATACCCTGCTGAACTCTTGCTGTCCCATTTCGTATACTGATTGCACCAATGTCGTTGTAAGGGTTTGTGGCTAGTTGGTGAGTCACTTTCCGAATTTCTTCCGGCGACAAGGCACGAAACGGCAGTAGATTGTCGTATATCTGATCGAACTCATCAATGACGACAGACGACCGACTAGTGGCATACTCATACCATTTGTCGAAGCCTCTATGTCGAGAGTCAGTATGGCATTCGGTGTGTCTTCTGGATTGACTCACGGTGGTGGATGTTGATTGTATTTCGCTCGGTACTGGGCAACAGCTTCTGCTAGATTCTTGCTGCCATTGGCACTGGATTTCCAGCGATCATGATGTTTTCTACCCTCATAAATAAGCAGGTCGATTGGGTGTACATTGGCTACACTGGGCTGCTGGGCGATCAGAATCACCACAAAGCCAAATATAATTGAGAAAAATATCCGCATGAACACATTGAATCCGTAAAGGAACTGCGGTTCTTCTTCAGAAGCCGTTTGGCCACAGAGATATAGCATCACACCCAGGAAGGTGAGAAGAAGTGCAGCGAAAGCACGAGAGGGGAGTATCAGTGGGAAAGACTGTCCGTTAAACAAGATCGAAGCCAGCATGAAATTAATGGATACCGAGGCTGCCAATATGGAGATCCCAACCGCACCATAAAAGGGCATCTGAAGCCAGTCAGAGATAGGTTCATCCAAATTATAAAATGGTGCTTACTAGTTGAAATGCGGACAGTACTGTAAAGGCAACGAGAAGGCCTTGGCCTGCTGCGCTTCGTAAATAATGCGAGTTGACAAAGCCGCCATCCCCAGGTGCCACTTTTTTAAGAACGAGCGCCGCGATAAAACAGATCACAGCAACTCCCTATATGGACAGTTAGGCGTTCTGGAATATGCACCGCTGACCACAATTATGCAGACTTACAAAAAACCCGTAGCCCCAAGAAACCAACGCTTGCTTTTTCCTTCCATCCCGGGATCGGTTACCTTCTCGGCAAAACTCGGCAGCGCCGATTAGAATGAGGGTATCCAAAGTAACACTGAGAAACCTATACGCCCGAAACCGTGGATGTAGCCCAGAGATGATAGGGCAAATATATGTCGATTGCCTGCCTTCATCAAATGTAGCCACGAGAAGGCCAGCAGCCATGAGGAATACAGCCGATAGCACATTCCTCAAACGGCTCCGACAGAGGTAGAAATACGCGCGGCTGATTACAGCAACGAACATGCGCAGGTGCGCATTTGAAGGGCCTTCCGGCGCAATCCATTCCTGTTTTGGTCGGCCACGTTGGTTGCGCCAGTAATCGTATAGCGCAATAAGGAATGGGATCATGTACTAAAAATTGGGCGTTCAGAATCGGCATGTGTGTTGCTGTGTCAAACTTTTCGCGGGCACACTTACAGCATATCCCGCCGGTGCGCACTCATTGTTGAGATTGATTTGGTGGTATAGAGCGATTCGTAGGCAGCCCATACCCGAAAGTAAACCAACTCCAATCCACCGACTTGAGCCGAGTATTTTTCGACTAGGAAAGTTACCATTGTGGTTACTCGGCGAAGATGGCTCTTCTGCGGCGGAATGGCTCAGCTCTGTGAGGGGTATGGCGGAATACTTATGTGCAGGAGACGATAGCGTGGGGAAAGCATCGGCGAATCTGCTTGTGATCAAAAGAAAGATAGCTGTTAAGAAACAGGCTAGGATAGCTGATTCAAGTGGGTGGTCTGTTCATTCCGTTTTGTTAGCTGCATACTTGCATACTCCGTAAATGTTGTCCTTTTAACGCCCAATTGTCGTTCAGTACATTCCATTACAACCCATTTCGTCCTTAGCGCGAACATGCATAGAACTGACTCACCAAAAGCGAACGTGGTGGTGTAAGAAGTCGTAACGAAAGTGCAGCTCAATAAGAATGCCCTGCGCGCCTGGTTAGTTGATCCGAGGCAAAGTAGTACAGTCACTTACACCATAGAGGCTTTGAGCCCCGATTCGGCGGAGAAAAGATTCATTGAGACAGAATATGATTATGTGCAGTTGGCACAGGAAGCCATTACAGTGACCAATTGCCAATTTGCATCATGCTGCGCCGACCAAAACGCGCACGGAATACTGAGGAATAGGGACTCGGAGCGGCTATGGAGCGACTATCGACTAGTTTAAACTGCCTGGGGAATTTTAAATTTGTTGGGTGGAGACGTCAAGGGGCGGGAAGGGTCGATTCGATTAAGTTGTAAGGTAGGGTAGTATGTACTCCATATGCACAGTTCTATGAAGGTCATAACAGCGAAGCAGAGACCCTGAGGGAGGAATATCGTACCTGACCCCTCCAAGGTTACTCGCGTATTAGGGGTGCGACGGTATCAAGTCAGCGGGTGAATTGCGTCAACGAAACAAGGTCGACCATGGGTGATTTGCCCGTCTTTGCTGGAATGGGAGAGCTTAGACTGTCCGCCGTGGAGCCAGCCAGGAAAATCAAAAGCACGCCAGTGACGATCATTGAACGAGGCCTCTTTTTAGCCTTGGACGCCGTGTCATGCCAAGTTATTTTTGGCTGCTGTTGACCACCCGCTAAGCAAATCATATCACAGAATTGAAGCCCCAAAAGTTGTTTTCTTTGGTGATGGTCAATTGGAAATGATAGGTAGTTCTGAACTCTCAAAACTGCAGTGGCTCCCTACTCCATTGCATTCCATTGGAAATGGATCTGTTTAATTGACAAAGAAATGAGAGATGAAAGAAAGGGAAATGATTGCGGGAATTCATGCATCATATCAAATGCAGCGACCATCGAGCATTCGTCATCCAGATGATGAAGCTTGCAGCGATTGACGGCGTCCACCTAGTAAAATTAAGTCAACTTTAATGCCCGATCCACTGACTTCCTTTTCCCAATCTGGACCTGAGAGTGCTCTATTCCTAAAGAGGAAAACCCATGCATTATGTAATCACACGAGGGCGGTGACTTTTTTCTAGGCGGTGGCATCTGGCAGTATGGTCTCCGCCTGATAACTTTTTTTACTTTTTTTTTTTTGCTGAGCAGAAGAAGTTGCAGCACACGGACGGCAGTTTACAATTCCAGACCCAGTCGCCGGAATCACTTTTCATATCATTTATAAAGGGTCTGGTCTGCGGTTTATAACAATCCAAGGCTGTGTGCGGAGCGCGTGGCCAGTCTAGGAACCTTGACGATATCTCCGTACCCACTCTCAGTTTTCACCTTCAAAGGATTCGCTTTTCTTACGAATTGATTGCTTGGTCGGTTCCAATAGCCAGGAGAAGCTCCAACCACGATGCCGCGTAAGGCAATTGATTCGCGCATTCCTGCGCTTATCCGCAATAACTTGCAGGAGAAGAAACGAAGCTTTTTCGTCGTTGTTGGTGACCGCGCAAAAGATGCGATCGTCAACCTGCACTATATTATGTCGTCGCACGATGTCAAACAGAACAAGTCCGTTCTCTGGGCCTATAAGAAGGACCTTTTGGGATTCACCAGTCACCGCAAGAAGCGCGAGGCGAAGATCAAGAAGGAAGTGAAGAGGGGCATCCGGGAACCGAACCAAGAAGACCCTTTCGAATTGTTCATCACTCTTAATCAGATTCGTTATGTCTACTATAAAGAGACGGAAAAGATCCTAGGTAACACCTATGGAATGTGTATTCTCCAAGATTTCGAAGCCATTACACCGAATCTGCTCGCCCGAACGATCGAAACCGTGGAAGGAGGTGGAATTGTGTTATTGCTTTTGAAGGGCATGAGCAGTTTGAAGCAACTCTATACATTATCGATGGATATCCACTCAAGATACAGAACAGAAGCACATGATGATGTGGTCGCCCGTTTCAACGAGCGGTTCATTCTGTCCCTTGGTAGTTGCGATTCATGCTTGGTTGTCGACGATGAACTGAATGTCTTACCGATATCCGGAGGAAAGAACGTCAGACCACTGCCACCACCAGACTCTATCGATACTTCTAATACTGGCACAAAGAAGGAGCTGAAGGAGATCAAGGAGAGCTTGGCAGACTCGCAACCAGTCGGGTCGTTGGTTAGCTTGGCTCGCACGGTTGATCAGGCGAAAGCACTCCTGACATTTGTCGATGCAATTGCGGAGAAGACGCTCCGGAGTACGGTTGCCCTGACTGCCGGAAGAGGACGAGGAAAGTCTGCAGCTCTGGGTGTTGCTATTGCAGCGGCTGTTGCGCATGGTTACAGCAATATCTTCATCACGTCTCCTAGCCCGGAGAACTTGAAAACGCTGTTCGAGTTTGTGTTCAAGGGATTCGATGCTCTTGGTTATCTTGACCATGTTGACTATACCATTCTTCAATCCACTAACCCCGACTTCAACAAGGCTATTGTCAGGGTTAACATTCATCGGCAGCACCGTCAGACCATCCAGTACATTCAGCCCCAAGATGCCCATGTCCTAGGTCAGGCGGAGCTGCTGGTCATCGATGAGGCGGCAGCGATCCCTCTACCCCTTGTCCGCAAACTGATGGGTCCTTACCTTGTTTTCATGGCTTCCACTATCAATGGTTATGAAGGTACTGGTAGGTCCCTCTCTTTGAAGCTGATTCAACAACTTCGTGAGCAGTCACGCGGAGGACTCAAGGCCAATGGCGGGGAGGATATTGATGTCGCTGATCGTGCAACCGGGAAGGCGGCCAAAAACACAGACAAGAGCCTAGGTGGACGGTCTCTGAGAGAGATTACCCTGTCCGAACCTATCAGATATGCGCCTGGGGATTCCGTAGAGAAATGGCTGAACAAAGTCTTATGTCTCGACGCGACACTGCCAAAGTCCAAGATAAACACGCAGGGCTGCCCGCATCCCTCTCAGTGTCAGCTGCTTCAAGTCAACCGCGATACCCTGTTCTCGTTCCACCCTGTTTCTGAGAAGTTCCTTCAGCAGATGATGGCTCTCTATGTTGCTAGTCACTACAAGAACACACCGAACGACCTTCAGCTCATGAGTGATGCCCCGGCGCATCAGCTTTATGTTCTTGTTCCACCAATCGACGAGGAAGCTACCAAGCTTCCGGAGCCTTTGTGTGTTATCCAGGTTGCGCTGGAAGGTCGCATCAGCAGACAGAGTGTCCTCAATAGCTTGAGCCGTGGTCAACGTGGTGGAGGCGATCTGATCCCATGGCTTGTTAGCCAGCAGTATCAGGATGAGGACTTTGCTGGTCTCTCGGGTGCCAGAGTTGTCCGTATCGCGACCAATCCAGAGTATTTGAACATGGGATATGGTTCTCGTGCTTTGGAGCTCTTGGTTGACTTCTATGAAGGCAAATTCACTAGCCTTTCTGAAGACGTCAACGAAACCCAGGAAGAAATGGTCAGAGTAACGGACGACGAGCTCACGAACTCCAACCTTCTGGATGACAACATCCATGTTCGTGACATCCGCTCGATGCCACCCCTTTTCGGAAAACTGTCCGAACGTCGTCCAGACGCTCTTGACTACCTTGGTGTCAGCTATGGCTTGACACCATCCCTCCACAAGTTCTGGAAGCGTTCTGCCTTTGCCCCCGTGTACCTCCGCCAAACACCCAATGATCTAACGGGTGAGCATTCATGCGTGATGCTGCGCACTCTTTCCTCCGGTCCAAATGATTCCAGCTGGCTGGGTGCTTTCGCACGGGACTTCCACAAGCGTTTCCTTGCCCTGCTATCATATCAGTTCCGCGAGTTCCCCTCCGTGCTCTCCCTCAGCATTTGTGAATCTGCCAACGCAGGTGCCAAACTAGACCCTTCCATCACCTCAGCTCTCCTCAGGAAGTCCGATCTCGACACTCGCTTCTCCCCCTTCGATCTCAAGCGTATCGACAGCTACGCCAACAATCTCCTCGATTATCACGTCATCCTCGACATGGTCCCCACCATCGCAGAGTACTACTTCTCCGGCCGTCTCAACGGCAAAGTAAGCCTCTCCGGCGTGCAACAGTCCATCCTCCTGGCCGTCGGCCTGCAGCACAAGAGCATGGACGACCTCGAGAAGGAACTGAGCCTGCCCTCATCCCAGCTCTTGGCCATGTTCCTCAAGATCGTCCGTAAGATGTCGACCCACTTCCGCTCCGTCATCGAAGGCGCCGTCGCGGAGACCATGCCTTCCGAGCAAGTCCCCGTGAGCCAGGCTTCTACCGATGCGCACGACGACGTGGTCGTCGACGAGCGCTTCAAGCCCCTGGAGACTGGTCTGGATGAGGAGCTCCGCGAGGGAGGACAGCAGGTGGACGCGGAATTGCGCGAGAAGCAACGAGCCTTGATTGATGCTCTTCCTCTCGACAAGTGAGTGGCTTCCATTATACAAATATTCACTCGCCTCTTGAATGAGCAATAACTGATTTATAGCCTTCAGATACGAGATCAACAACGGTAGTGCTGCGTGGGAGGACGCCGAGAAGCAGATCCGGGGCGGAGGCGCCTCGACGGTCAGCATTAAGTCGTCGAAGCCCAGCAAGCGCAAGAAGGGAGAGTCAGCTCGTGAAATTTACGACCAGGAGATTGACTCGAAAAGACAGAAGATCATTAAGAAGGGAACGGAGGGCAAGAAGAAGAAGCACTAATGGTTCGCGACTATTTAGGCATACGCGCAACAGAAGCATACTTGTTCTTTTGGGTTGCTCACATAGAACGATGATGTTCATTGGCAGTCTGGGGATTCTGTCTAGAAAAAAACTGATTTTAAGTGATCTCCTTACCCTCTTGTATATACGCGACCGATTCTCATATTCGAAAAGTTCATTGGAATTCAACTATCTCTGTTGTAAACTTACATCCTATTCATTGACTAACCTAACGCCTCCGCTCTAAGCTACTTAAAATAGTTGGACCTCTGCTAAGGAGTGTAGACGTCCACCAACTATAGCTACGGCCCAGATCCAGGTGCTAACAGTTCCGACTTACAGCTCGTCGTGATCGGCGGTTTGCTTCTCAGCCCCGGCCTCAGTGACGACGATCCCTTCAGGGAGCTTGCTCTTAGAACCTTCGCCCAAACGAATAGCGTCAACCCAGGACTCAACACGGGCCAAACTGTAGTCCGCGTTTTCCGATGGGTCGTACCTCCGCCACCAGCCTCTGCGTCCGTTCAACGCGATGATCTCCACTGACTTGCTATCTTCAGAAAGACCGAGCCCAGCCCGTAGAGTTGCTGCCCCGCTGTTGATAGCTGGGACACTGTAGAACGGGAAGAGATGGGCCTGGCGCACCGTGTGCTTATGTACGATCTCGGACAAACTAACAACGGCCTCCTTTGCGGAGCTGGGGATGTCGGCGTCAGCTTCAGTAGATTCCGGAAGAAGAGCCAAAATACAAGTGCCGGATTTGGGTGTTAGACAGGCAGTCTCCAGCGCTTCCACAGTAGGAAGGGAAGCAATGGGGGGTGCCTGATTGGGGACCTGTGCGGGTTTCGATTCCTGCGCATCCTCGGGAACAATTTTGGGGACAGGAGACTCGGTTGGCTTCAACTTCTCTGCTTCATCATCTAGAACGGTTGTAGACTGAGAACGCACGGACGATGACTTGGATGACTTTGAAGACTTGGTCTTGGAACTTGTGGCAGAGGGAGCAGCGTTGGGGGCCGCGACTTGGCTGAAGAACTCAACCATTGGCTTCTTTTTGAGGTCGCCATCATACACAATATGCTCCCGCCCGCCTCCGGGGAGGAGGACGAGTTTGGGGAATTCCTCAATGCCAAATCGCTCTACAGCGTCGGACTCCTTGCTGCGAATTTGGGCTACCTTGATTGATCCAAGGAAGTCAATCGCAAGGGCTCGGATGAGAGCGCTCGTAGTGCCTTTCTCGGTGAAAAGAATAGCCTTCGGGGCTTCTTCGTCTTCAGAAAGCCACTTGCCCAGATCCTTGTCCGTAACCCTCTTCACATGGTTTGGGATGCGCTCCACCACTGCATCAACTATAGCTTTGGCAGTCCTCTGGCCCTGGTAATCTTCCACCCTTGGTGCGCCAGGCTTCTTGGAAGGCGTCACGATCTTGAGGGTCGGGAAGCCTTGTATACCCAACCGACCACACAAGGGTTTATTTTCGTCATCGTCGCAATTGACGGCGGCAACGTTGGCCAAACCGTCCAAGTTTTTGGCTGCTTTCTCGTAGGCAGGTTTCAGGTTCTGGCAGTGGCCACACCAGGGAGCGTAGAATCTGGTGTGAAGGGACACATATTAGAAATTGGCGATCCGGGGAGGGAGAATAAAGCGCTTACTCTACGATCTGTGAGATGGTTAACACTGTTGTTAGCATTGATAGTCAGTACCAGTTCACCTTACCGATGCGTGATTGGACTTGGCAATGAGCCGATCATAAGACTTTTGATCCACCTGCAGCACAGGCGATTTTTTAGTGTACAGCCCATCAGCGTTGACTGGGAGAGCTGTCAGAAGTGACGCGACAAGAAGAAGTGCAGAGCTTGGCTGCCACATCTTGAGCTTAAAAACGAGTGTCTTCCTTTTGAGATTATATTATTTTTTTTGAAGGGTGTACTATCACTGGTGCTTATAGTATGTAGTAGGTGATCAACCTCCCAGAGAGAGTGGGAACAGTATTTATGGGTGGTAAGACGTTGAAAGAAAAGCAATGAAGCAATGTGTCCTAAAGACGCGCTCTTGGCATGTGACGGGGAAGCTTCCGCTCCGCCCATAAATACACTTACTTAATGATACAAGTGCGACGTGGGGGTGCAGTCAGTCACCCCCATGCCCTGTCAGAAACCCTTCGCCTTTCATGGGAACTTGAAAAGTGACTTAGGACCGCCTCGACTATACTTTGAAAATGCACTTGAAGTTATTAATGCTTAACTCGCTTCTGCGTCCGTGAAAAGAAGCTCTATAGCCACCCCCCACGTTCACCATGGCAGTGGGCATGGTTGACACACCAGCAACTGCGCAGGGCCGTGAGGCTCTAGGAATGTCTATGTTACCACGAGAGATTTTCTGGATGATCTTGAACTATCTCAGTCCAAGAGACATCGTCCGTTGCCGCCGCGTTTCCCAGTCTTGGAGTCAGAGCTTCGGAAACCCCGCAAATCTTATCCCACTCTTGAGGACGTTCTTTCCTTTAGCGAAAGAGGTCAGGGAGCTTCATGGTAAAGATATTGACTGCGTGCTGGAAACTACAGATGACGATATCTATTGGTGCAGGCTCTTCGATCAGCTCGCCTCTAGATATGATCATCTTAGCCAAGGGAAACCCAAATCTATACAGAGGCACAAACTTTGTGATGACTTCGGCGTATCTGGGGAAAGAGAATGGTTTCACGTGCAACCCTGGGAAAACCATGCTAGTCACCTAATGCAGCGCGTTGATTGCCCTTTCCCAGAGTCGTTTTGGTCGTATGAGGATGGTCTGATAGTGTATCCGAGCGCAGATTACTCATGCCTTGTGCTCTTGGACCTAGACAGTGACAGGAAATTCATGGTTCCTTTCATTATCACAGGCAAAGTGATTCGCCGAATTCGACTACAGAAAAGAGTTCTCGTTGTGGAGTGGGCAGAACCCAAAGCTTTCCATTGGTTAAATGACAGTGATGGAGTGCATCGCCACTTTGCTTCATCATTTGACGTGACAGAGGCTGCGAGTGGCTGGAGCATCAAGTTTCGGAATGAGTGGAAGATCATGTTTCTTGGTCACCCACTCAGCGAGAGGGATCGCTTCTATTCCACTCACAGCGAGACACACTATGCCATCTATATTTGGCAGCCCAATCGCAGTTTGTACACTGCAGATGATGATGCCCCAATCGAGTCGCTATCGGTCTGGGACATCTCACAGCCATCAGATTACCGGCCTTCCTTGGACCCTACCGGACGTCTGCGCGCAGCAGGCCAAGATAATGGTCCGTCTATTATCACGCGGTTTGGGTTCAGAGAACTAGGGTTCTATTCTGTCAGACAGCGAGGGTTCCCGGGTGTGCAATGTCTGAACATTAGTGAGGACAATCAATCCATAGATATAGTCGAGAACTTGTGTACAGGGCCAGTCGATCGCCTGGTTGCGCCGACAGAATGGACGTCACAGGTGCAAATTACTAGCATTCCAATATCCGGTGACGGGCCTTGCTGGAGGCGGCTCGATTCTCAAGCGCTTCCTCCCTACCGTGGTAGCAATAGTCTACAAACAAAGCCCCTCACCTTTGCCATCTGTGATGAACCATGGTATGCCGTCGTCTCTGAGGCATATGATGAGAAGGCCAAGGTTGGATTCTGCCTCCATTTGTCACCTATTACATGGCCGTTTGATCTGAAAATGTTCCTGAGCATCCGAACTCCATCCTCAACTAAAACATTGAAACATGAAGAAATTTTCGAGCTCATCGGTAAAGGAAGGATTTGCGGAAATGAAAGGCACTTGGTTGGTGAGAATGCGAACCGCGAACTTGTCATTTATAGATTTGATCAATAAAAAAAGAAGAAAGAAAAGAAAAATATTATTAAAGTCTAGATTTGAAACGCGTGGCCATATTCCATATCTGTTGTAGACGGTGAGCCGAATAGGTGTCATGGGGGGTTTCCGAATACCCAAGTCAGACCTTCAAACTCCGGGTTTACGACCGGACATGTATCAGGAAAGGAGGGAAAGAAAAACACTGGTATTCCAACAGTAAGTCTCTATATGGATTCTATTGAAACAAGAATGTCTCATGGCCTCAAAGGAAAGAATATACCCATCAACTGCGATCATTATACAGGGCTGGCTCACTATCCTGGAAAGACACCATGTCCCGAATACCTCTTCCTTACACCAGATTAGCTGAAAAGAGTGAGCAAAGATACATGTTCCTTGGGCAGCGTCAGAGACCAAATGAGAGAAAATCGAAATTGACAATGCCATGTATGCCGATGAACAAAGAGCTCGGTAGCTGCATCCACTTGTATACACCACTGGACCCCTGCACGGCCCCAATATGCAAGATTTGTATAGTGGAGTAGTAACCATAGAGCATGCACAGGGGATTGAGAGCTTCTGTCCTAAGACCAGAGCTAAGATAGCGGAGAAACTCCTCTGTACCTGGGTAAATTTACGCTAACCTAAGAAATCCGAAGCTGCTGACCCTTGCTTAGATACTAAGCAGTATCCTCCAGGGGAGAGTATATGTTTCTTAAAATAATAATCATAATAATAGTTTCTTTGGGCGAGATTGCTAAGATACACTCGGCTTTCCTCCAACGTCTGTAGGCCACACTATGTAGCCATGAAACACGACCACAATGAAAAGATCCCGAATCATGTGTTGTCTACACGAAGGCATTTCCCATGCTAGATTAAACTAGCGCGTCGAGGAACTATATTCTTCTGGAAGATCTAATATTGATGTATCTTGATTTGAAGGAGTGTTTGATTTGCGTATACTAATACTCAATGAAGAACCAAATCGCCACGATTGAATATGGCACAAGTCATCTTTTCCTTCATAACAACAACTGAATACAATGGCATTGATATGCATCATCAAGCATACCTGAACTAGCCAACTGTGGGAAATCAAGCATGTTGTAACAAGAAGATAGGAAGTAAAAATCACTCCTCGTAGTGAAACTTACAACCAACACACGCCCTGATCCCACACCCTGGACAAGAAAGAGTGTAGATGGGCATCCACCGATGGCACACCTCACATTCCGATGATCCAAATTCCTTGTTCCAGTAACCTAGATGGCGACAATGCTCTGGATTCACCTGGATAGTTGCGGCGGATTCTGCGCCAGGAAACTCTAGCCGGAGAGTCTCCAGCCAGCCGCAGAAGGACTCCATAACAAGGCCTCTGAGCTCAGTGTGAATATCTTCTTCCGTGTATTGACCGCTAGGATGATTTAGTTTCTCCTTGAAGTGTGGGATCAAAGGATCGATGAGTGAACGTGGGCTTGGCGAGGATTCATCAGCGGGCGTTGCTTGTGAGGTTACGTTGTCGTCATTAAAGCAGACTTCTCCTCCGTCACTGAAACTATGAAAAGTTTCATTTTCGTCAGTATCAGACTCCTCGGAGATAATTCCCGTTTCATCCACCGGGTTAACTGGTTCTCCAACGCTTGTCATGTCAAGCAGATCCTCACTGTCAGAGACTGGGGCCTGTCGTGCGCTTTCATACTCGGCCTGGGTTTGTTGTGTAGAGGTAATTGAGAAAGCAGAATCGTCCTTCTCTTCCTTCTCTCCCTCTTGGTCATTTCCTCTATATGGATCGTATCCATCGCCGCCTTCATAATCATCTTTCTCTGCATATTCCTCTTCTTCATAGTATTCTTCATACCCTTCATCATCCTCCTGCTCCTCATATTCTTCTCCGCCCTCGTATTTTTCCTCGCCTTCGTACTCTTCACCCTTCTCATACTGTGGATATTCTTCGTCACCTAGTTCTTCCCCAAATTCAGAACCCGGGTTAGTACTAGCCATACCGCCCTCCTCAGCACAACCCTCCTGTTCATCCTCTTCATCCAACATCTCCCCCCTCTCCGTCTGTTCTTCATCACGCATCACTCTGGCACGCATAACTTCCTTCCTTCTATTCTGCCTCATCATTTCCTCTGTCTCCGGATCGTATGTCCAGGTATAGCCCGAAAAGTCCGGGTTCCCTTCATAAGCCTCCCACTGCTCACATTCTCGTTTCAGTTGCTCCCCATACTCGCGTTCCCTCTCACATCGCCTAATCTCATCCCGTGATTCTGGAGAATAGGGATCCATGTGGACGCTGTTCGCATAACTAAACATATACCGCCCGCTCATACTACGTAGAGCAGACAAATCAGGACTCGAAGCTGCCCAGCCCCAAGAAGTGTCCTGATTAAAGAGATTGATGGCCTGATCTCTAAGGTTACGTCTGCTTAGCAGTTCTGCATCGTGTTTCCCCCTGCGGGTACTATCGCGGAGAATTTCGACGGCTTGTTGGATCTTCAAGGAACATGATTGCATCAGTGTAAGCTGAGTCAAGTGACTGAAAAGTAGGATGATATATAAGAGGAATATGGGAAAGAAACGGAGTATTGTGATTGTACTATACCTTCTGAAACTCGAGGTGGCCATCATCTGCACCTGTCTTGTCAGGGTGGTACTTTAGAGCAAGTCTTTTGTAGGCACTGTTGATGTCTTTCAGATCTGCATTTGGAGTTATGCCCAGGATCTCGTAGCAGTTCATAGTTGTTCTTCTGATTGTGGAGGCCATGGAGGTTGATCTAGCTATGGCAATGTGCTGACCTTTAGGACTCTTCTAGCTTGCGGCAACCGTTGTTCCAGGAGGTAAAGCGAATGAGATATTAAGATGCATGTGAGTTTTAGGAAGGGGGAATGAAGACTGGAAGCTCTACTTAAATGCAGAGTACAGTATTCACCGTCTACATCTGAGTAGATACAGAAATATGAAGGGACAGTCTGCACTTTGACTGGAGTGAAAAGGAAACAGTCACTGTTTGCATTTAAGACAAGTAGTGGACTTTCCGTTTGATTCACCTCGTTTGTTGTCACGGCTGTTGCCCGTCTCGGACCTGGGGATATCATGTGCGCAGTCTCGAAAAAGCACCACCGTGTACAAGAAACGGTGAATTCTGAAACAACCATATCAGAAGTGGTGGAATGATAATAGACAGCAGACGAGGAGGTAAGAAAATAGTGAACAAGAGCAATGAGAAAAAGTTACAATACTTGGCCAGATGGAGAAACGAGACAAAAGAAAGATGGATAGACTGATTTACAGGCTGATAAAAATCTAGCTAGGTATTTAAGAGTAAGTCTACACACATGTCGACTCCTTCCCACAGAAGCATCATGAAAGCTTCTACATGTCCGCACTGGCGGTGGCACCGGTGATAATTTCAACCAGCTCACCGGTAATGGCGGCTTGACGCTGACGGTTGTACAGAATCTGGAACCTGCAGGAAGTTAGATTTTAAATCCCAGTTAATGTGCTGGACGGTACTCACTTGTTGATCATCTCACCAGCGTTCTTCGAGGCGTTCTGTAAAGAAAAGGTTGGTTAGTCTAGGTCAACGAGCACCTCAGCTATTCAGGTGATACTTGCCTCCATTGCATTACGACGAGCCTGTAGATCGATGGGTTAGTAATGATTCGGATATCCACATTATATCGGTGATGAACTTACAGAAATCTCACAAGCGTGGCCTTCAGCCATAGCCCAGAACAGGCTGTTGGCAAGAGCATATTCACGGAGGTTGGCAAGAGCCTGGTCGTCAATCTCGAAAGAGGAGATGTTGGCTTTGGAAGAGAGTTCAGCATACTAGACTTTTATATGAGCAGATGATAAAACACTAACCGGACTTGGTGATGGCCTCCTCGGAGTAAGCCTCAACAGTGGCGGGCTCGTAGCTCTGGGCGTTGAGCCACTTGTTGTAGATGATCTTAACGCTGGCGTAGTCGGCGGGCAGCAGAGCGATCTGGTCGGCAACGGCCTGGGCATCAGCGAAGGTGGGAATGTCCTTGCAGACGTTGGCGAAGCTCAGGACGAGAGAGTTGGGGCTGGTTCTGGAGAGCTGAGCCTTGGCCTTCTCACCAAGAACAACGATGTCGGCGTCGGTGTGTTCCTGGAGGATACGGCGGGTAGCCTTGCTCAGACCGGAGTGGATACCACCGCAAAGACCCTTGTCGGAGCTGGCGACGACGAGCAAAGTCTTCTTGTCCTCGAGGGGCTTGGTCTCGGCCTTCTCGAAAACGGTGTTGGAGGTCTCACCGTAGTTGCGAGAGTCGTCCATGGCCTTCTGAGCGCGGGTAAGACGGGTAGAAGCAATGACCTTCATAGTGTTGGTGATCTTTTCAATGTTCTTGATGGACTTGAGACGGCCCTCGATTTCACGCAGAGTCGCGAAGTTGGCGGCATTGGGAGGAGCAGTGCTTCACACAAAGGAATTAGTAACTAGTCACCGAGTTGAACGCAATCATCCTAGAATCCCAAGGTTTTCTCTTTTCTTCGCGGATGATTGGAGGTCTGTTTTGGAAGGTGCCTAGGTTGGTGTGAAGAGGTCCGGAAGAGAACTCACCGGGTGACAACAGCACTACCGGCCCTGACGGCCGGGCGAACAGCACGAGAGAACATTCTGAGATCGGACCGTAAGGTCAAGATATAATGACCAGCGATGGAAAGCTGCAGAGGGGAGAGCCGCGAGGGTGGGTAGTGAGACCTCTGCTTTAGCGGGAAGAGAAGACGTTGACTTGGACTCCTGTTTCTGTTCGTCCGACAGCCGGCAGAACGGGAACAAAGCCGCACTATGCCTGAACGGGAAGGTTGTCGGGGAGACCTGAAAAGCCAGATGCGCAGTGCGCACAAACCTTTAACCCGAAATTCCCGGCATCCCTCTTCAGGCATGCAGGCATCGATGCTCAGCCAGCCTCGGAGCAGATTGTGTCAATGACGCTGTGTTTGGGGTTGTCGCCTCAGGCAGTGGCCGGCCTCGCAACCAGACTGGCTGGCGGTCCGGAGAAACGTGAGAGATCGCCTCAGGCCCCAAAAGACCGCCTCGTTTTCCATTGCATTCCTTTCTTTCCTCTCTTTTTCCTCTCTCAGCTTGTCAACCCTTTCCCTTTCTCGTCTCACTCTTCTCATTATTGCCATCTCTTCCCCCTCTTCAGTCAATGTATTTACTCTTCTCCTGACATCTGCTCTCCTCTCACCCTTTGCATTGGTCAGATTCTCTCTGACTTCATCCTTCTGTCAAGCGCCAGTCTTACTCTTCCGACTGGGCAGGTCAGTTCCGGTTTACAGGTTGCCCAGTCGAACTCACCTGTACTCTCCGTTCTTTAACCAACGCTTGCCCATTCACTCGTATCCAAGCATCATGAGTTCCTCAGAGGACGATACCCCACTTGTGAAAGCAAACGGTCGATCTACTAGTGAGTTCTCCTACATGTCCTGGGTCTAGCGGCAGCCTGTTTGCGGTTTTCGCATCACTACAAGTCTTCACGCCCTCGCATACGATCTGAGATCCGCTCCTATTGCACCTGAAACTCCGTCAATAATAGGTTTTTCTTACATATAGTCTCATCTAGTTACCCCTAACGTGACCATGGGCGATGCGACAGAGACAAACGGCGATGTCTACCCTGGCATCTCAAACCGTTTTGGACCCGTGCAGAAGGACAATGATGTTCAGATGGCGGATGCGGAAGCTCAGGACAACGGCGCCCTCAGCAAAAGAAAAGCGCGAACCAGTGTTGGCCAAAGAAAATCCTACGCGGAACCAGAGAGCAGTGAAGAGGATGATCAGCCTTGGTACGCCAGAGCCAGCCCGCGCCATTCCCTACGTTAAACCCCTTACTTTGCGGCGCTGTCAGTGTTAGTTTCAGCAGCTGACTATTCGACAGAGCAAGCGCCGTCGCACTTCTGTGAAGCATGAAGATCCGGAAACGGATGAAGATATACCTCTAGCGCTTAATGGGAGAAAGCTGCCAAAGGCGGCGGAAACTTCTATTGTCGAAGAATCCGACTCCGATGTCCCTATTGAAAGGAAACTTGCTTCTCAGAAGAAGAGAATTCAACAGAAGGCAGAAAAAGATGCCCAAGCTAGTCGCAAACAAGAGTCCACGAAGGCGGCAGCGAACAAGAAGCCGACCAACGGCATCAAAAAGGAGCCAACAAATGATAAGAAGCCTGTGAAGAGAGCATCTACAACAAAGGTAAAGACAGAACCGAAGTCCGCGCAGTCTACCCCCGTGAAGAAAGGGAGTGCGAAAGCTACGCCAGTGAAGAAGGAAGCGAGCGAAGAGGCCGAGGAGGCCGAAGAAGAAGAATACAGGTGGTGGGAAGATCCCACAAAGGGGGATGGAACGAACAAGTGGACAACCCTCGAACACAACGGTGTCGTCTTTCCCCCACCATACGAACCTCTACCAAAGGATGTCAAATTGAAATACGATGGTGTTCCAGTCAATCTTCACCCTGATGCGGAAGAGGTGGCAGGCTTCTTTGGAAGCATGTTGAATGCGACTCAGCATGTCGAAAACCCTACTTTCCAGAAAAATTTCTTCATGGACTTCAAAGAAATCCTTCAGAAGACAGGCGGTGCAACGGACTCCAAGGGTAACAAGGTCAATATCAAGGACTTCTCCAAGTGCGACTTCCAGCCAATATTCGCATATTATGACATGAAGCGCCAGGAGAAGAAGAACCTACCCCCAGCTGAGAAGAAGCGTCTGAAGGCTGAAAAAGATGCCGAAGAAGCCCCCTATACGTTCTGCATGTGGGATGGCCGAAAGCAGAAGGTTGGAAACTTCCGTGTTGAACCCCCTTCTCTTTTCCGTGGTCGTGGTGAGCATCCCAAGACGGGGCGTGTTAAGTCTAGAGTTCAGCCTGAGCAGATCACCATCAACATTGGAAAAGACGCCCCTGTACCTCCACCGCCGGAGGGCCACCGTTGGAGAGAAGTCAAGCACGATCGAGAGGGCACGTGGCTTGCTATGTGGCAGGAGAACATCAATGGCAATTACAAATATGTGATGCTTGCCGCGAACTCCGATGTTAAGGGCCAGAGCGATTACAAGAAGTTCGAAAAGGCTCGTGAATTGAAGCATCACATTGACAAGATTCGCAAGGACTACAAGAAGAATATGAAGAGCGAGTTGATGGTGGAGAGACAGAAAGCCACGGCCGTCTACTTGATAGACCAGTTTGCCCTTCGTGCTGGTAATGAAAAGGGTGAGGACGAAGCGGAAACAGTTGGCTGTTGCTCTTTGAAGTACGAGAACGTCACGCTCAAGCCACCAAACAAGGTTATCTTCGACTTCCTGGGTAAAGACAGCATCCGATTTTATGATGAAGTCGAGGTCGATGCCCAGGTCTTCAAAAACCTGAAGATCTTCAAGAAAAGTCCTAAGAAGGAAGGCGATGAGATCTTCGATCGGTTAACGGTAGGTTGCCTTGCCTGCGTTTATTAAAATACTTGCTGACATCCACATTCTGTAGACATCTGCACTCAACAAGCACCTTTCGAACTATATGCAGGGCTTGACGGCGAAGGTTTTCCGTACCTACAACGCTTCACACACGATGAGTACACTGCTCAAAGAGATGAAAGCGACTGGCAACATTGCAGAAAAGGTCAAGGCGTACAACGATGCCAACCGTCAAGTGGCCATTCTCTGTAACCACAAGCGAACTGTGACCGCGTCTCACGCTAATCAAATGGAGAAGATGGGTGAGAGGGTAAGTATCACATACACGATCTAGACCTTAGCCTCCGAGAATGCTAATGATTTCCACTTCCACTGCGCAGATCAAAGGTCTCCGTTACCAAAGATGGCGCCTCAAGCAACAGATGCTTGATCTGGAACCTAGTCTTAAGAAAAAGAAGGGGGCTAAATTCTTCGAATTGGATGAGGATATTGATATGGAGTGGGTCAAGGAGCATCAGGTTTTCTTACTCGAAGAGCAACGACAGAAGATACAGAAGAAGTTCGACAAGGATAACGAGAAGCTTGCGGCAGAAGGGGAGAAGGAAATGAAGGCCAAGGAACTTGAAAATCGGCTGGAAGTAGTCAAGGACATGGAGAAGAAGTTCAACAAAGAAAACAAGACAGGAAAAGTGGAAGCTGAAGGCAAAGGCCCCACAGTCGACAAGCTTGAAAATGCCATCCAGAAGCTTGAACAGCGTATTGAGACCATGGAATTGCAGGCTCAGGACAAGGAAGATAACAAAGAAGTGGCCCTCGGAACGTCCAAAATTGTAAGTATCCCCTGCCCCTGGGTCGCATCAATAGGCTGTCTAACAACGTGCAGAACTATATCGACCCTCGTCTCACGGTTGTTTTCAGCAAGAAGTTCAACGTCCCAATCGAGAAGTTTTTCTCCAAGTCGTTGCGTGAGAAGTTCGAGTGGGCTATCAAGTCTGTTGAGGAGGATTGGGAGTTCTAGATTATTCCTTCCTCAGCAGAACCCACGAAGTGCGAATTTTGAAAATTTTACACGGCACTGCATCTCATTACTCCCGTGTCCTTGTTATTTTTAGTTGTTTCTATTCCCTTCTCAGCCACCCTTGTGGCAATAGAAGGGCTGTGATATATGTCCCATATTCTGGTTTCGATATCTCCTTTTATCTTTCTGATGTTAATTTCCAAGGCAAATTCGCTTTTTTGGAATACGCTTGCAAAAGCCACAAACATCTGTGGTATACTTACTTTTATCATCGCTTCGCTCTGTTGTATGTACAGCATTTCTTCAGACTCGCCAACAAGAAAAGAACAAAGAGAAACAGAAGACAGGAAAAAGAAAAGAGGAAGGAAGCACTACCATATACCAAGCAATACACAGGCCTGCAGACCTGGAAACTCATCAAGATGGATAGAGCTTAGCAGCGACTTCTGCAGAATACAATATTGTATATTCTTGTCATCCTGCGCACACCACCAAGCCAATAGTAACCACAACGATTTAAAAACTAGAACATTGCCAAACCCCTGGGATTCAGCAATCGAAACAGTGCGACTTAAGTCTCTTAATGCTAGACCTTGACACGAGTGACCTCCCCCCCCCCCCCCCATATCATATGCCTTTTGCTTTAGGAAGAAAAGAAAAGAAAAAAAAAAAGGCTCCAATAAAAGGAATTATTATGTAGCAGCTTAGCCAGATTTCACCCATCCACTTCCTGTGTGAATCAAGCTATATCCCTCCCACTTGGATAATTCGATAGCCGGGTCAATATTCGAACATAGTGTATCAAGGGTATTAATATATTAAATCTAAATTAATCTATGCTAATCATCACTCGGCTAATGATAAATAAATACCGTACCGATAGTTACCCATGAACCGTAGATTTTATTACAGATCTACTCCGGAAGCCTAATGGAATTGAAATATAGCTATAATACTCTAGACTATTATCAGTCCACTTTATACTCCGCATCTATAAATACGATGTTGGATATGCATTTTCAGAGAGAGAATACTAGTAGTTAGTATTGACTGGGATTCTCTAGGACTCGGTCATCAGGAAGGAAAGTCCCGCCCGACGCTGAGTTTAAGCTAGAGGCGAGAGACTATGTACTCCGTAGAGATAGAATGATGCCCACTGCTCTCTCACGCTTCGCGGGATTACGAGGCGAACGGGGCCACATTACCCTGGGTCACACGGTTCACGGAGGAATTGCTATTCTCATCTGGTCGGTCGATAAGATAAACTTGAAACGACCGCAGCCCGTAGCCAAAACACTAGCTGGATGCTCAACAGGAGGGCTTGTGGAGAGTTCCATTCTTAAGACTAACCCAACTCATGGTATCGGTACAGGAGAGTATAGTAGAGTATAGTTTGTGAAGGTAGTAAATATGGAGGAAAGTGGTCTAGAAGAGTAGTTTCAAGATCCTGTTGGCAACATGTATTTCCAACACAGAATAATAAAAAACAGAGCCGCGAAGGCAAAGCTCAAGTCAGTCACATGCAAGCGGTGCAGGAGTCTAAAGGGTGCCCATGATCAGAAAAAAAAAAGATATTTAACATAATACAAGCATCTCAGAAAACTAGCTGGAACATACCGGCGCTCGATAACAGATCCTGATTGGACCAAAGAAAGGATATTATAGATTACAAGTAGAGCGGTGACCATACATAGTACAGGACAACATTTGGCGGCTCGAGGTGGATGATTAACAGGTGGTCTATGCGCTCGAATTTTCAGATAGTGTGATTTATTCCAATGCAGATATCCGTCGTCAGTGCAGGCGAAGGTACAACAGCGGTCGTGAATGGGTCGTCATTATTGAATGCCATCATACTTTTGTGACTTTAGGCCAAGGTTGGTCAAAGCGAAGAGGTATTGAAGACTGGGCAGTGAGAGCTTCATGGTGTACGATGGGCCTATGGCCACCAGCCCATCCGTTTGTAGCTCTCTACCATATCCCGCACGCCGTCCGCATCGAAGCGTTCCCGAGTGGGTCTCCAGCCGGTTGTTTTCTCAAAAAGGGTGCCGTCAAGGGACATGTCTTGGTCCTTGAATACGTCCCTCTCTAGGAACGGGCTGATCGGGCCTGGCCGTTCAATCTTTTTCAGTTCCATCAATTCCGCCCAGACCTGCAGGCATTCCTCGTTCATGTCGTCTATCACATCGTCAAGGTTGAGCTTGGCAAACTGCGAGACCAGCGATCCCAGGAATGAGCACTTGAGACCAAATATAGTAGATAGCGCATCAGCAATGTCCTGCTGACGAGTATTGCCGTGGTCGACCACATTGAAGGCAGTGGGGGCCGAGCCGTCCGTCGGAGCGGTTGCCCTCCACTCGGCAGACTTCCACAGGGCACTGGCTGCATCTTTGACGTAAAGGGTGTTCATCTTGACGTCTCCGGTATAAAGAAGCTCTAGGTCCTTCTCCATTTCAAGATGTACTCGTGCGAGGCATACTCCCATGGCGAAAAAGCCCGAGCAATATTCTCCGTAGACATGTGGCAGGCGTAATAAGCAGTAGTTGAGGCCTGGGACTTTGCTAATTTCGTCGCTAGCTTTCATCTTCCACTTTGCCAGCTTATGCCATGGCTGGAGCTTGTCGTCCTCCTTCCGTGGCGATGACGCGGACTTATAAACGTGGGCGGTGGAGCATTCGACATAAGAACGGATTCCTCGACGGGCCACCTCACGAGCTAATGCCACGGTGAGATTGTAATTGCGAAGCTCATATACATCGTCGGGTTGTGAGTGCCTTGTCTCGCCTCCACAGTTGATTACGTAGTCAAATTGTTTGCCGTTGGCCCGATCGAAGACACGCGGGAAGTGCTCTAAATGGCAAGGCGGGGGTTGTCAGCAGGGGGCGTCATTGCTTGTTCGGGATTCCTAGAGTGCACTCACGTTCCCGACTAGCATCTGCTTGAACGAATTTATCTTTCGAGCAAGCCTCCTGGAATTCAGGGGCTAACCAAGCCAGTTGAGGAAGGACTTTGTCGACGAGTCTCACTTCCGATGCTAAGTTGTTTTCATGTATGTAAAGTGCCAGATGACGACCGATGAACCCTGCGAAACGCAAGACGTTTGGGTTAGCTCATGTACCCCCTTGCATCACCACGAGCAGCAGTATTATCCGTCGCATGTACATACCGAGTCCTCCAACAATCAGCACGGCTGGCTTTTCGCTCTGATCGCTCGCCATGGCAGTATGCGAGACGGGGACCGTATCAGGGCGCGAAGGTGGTAATGGAATACAATTTGCAGCTTTTTTCGGAGCAGGTATCGCCGGTTCTCAAACCCCACGCGCAAGCTTGAAGCAAACAAAGAATGCGGGGAGTCAGCGAAAAGGGGGAGGGGAATAAATGGTGGAAGTGTAACGGGAGAGGAAGTGCGATGAGGGGGAACCCAAAAGAGAGAGGGAGAGGGAGGGAGATAAGAGGCGCCGAGGAATAATATAGTGGGTTATAAACGTAAAATATGGAGAACAAAGAAGAGAGTTCTACCTTCACTATTTAAAATTAAAAAGAAGGACGGAGAAAGAAAAGCAAGACGGAAAGAAGCACAGATAATAATTAGAAAAAAGAAAAAAAAAATTTGGAGAGAAGCAGCAGGAGATGAGCAGGAGACAAAAGTGGTTTTGGGGCAACAACCAATTCGGAACTAACGACGCTTTGATGAATTGGGGCGTATCACCTGCTCGTCCTGTGACTGTAAAACTACTAGTAGTAAACTCCTCCCCAAACTACGAATGAAGGAGCCTCCCTCCTCTCTTCTCCGTTATTTTCCCATCCAATGAGACTCGCTGTTGGAGTTATTTCCATTATCAATAAGCGTATTGTCATTCACTCTAGTATATCGCTCGTGCGCTGCTTTAATTGAACCCCAGTCCAGAGTGCTTTCTCCACGACCATTTCCCTATACTGGCAAAACTTCAATTTCTGAGATCATGTGATCACCCCCATCCAGTCCTGAAAGAAACCGAAGAAAAACCTACGATGTTTTGCAGCTCATACTAGCATGGGACCCCCGTTTGATATGCGAGAATAGCCGAACCATCAGAATCTATATGATCACCCGCGTTGCGGCTGATGACGCTGGACCAACGGAAAAAAGGAGGGACTATCCAAGGTTTCCAATCCTCCAAACCGAGCAAATTCCGTTAGTCTGCGTCTAGAAATTTCGCCAGTAGGGTGGGTTGGGACTTTTCTCGGGAGGGCAAATTTAGAGCCCTCCAAGACGGGGGGCGGAACAAAGGTGATTCATCATTCCTTCCCCTGCCAAGTCGCGCGTTGTGGACATCTTCCGTTCTTCAGGGACGCCGTTCGATCATAGTCCCGCGTCTAAGTGGGTAAAGAGAGGAGGTGAGAAACGAGAGGGGAGCGGACAAAGGGAGGTAGGGAAGGAAACAAGAAAAAGTGGAAAGTTAAGTGGACAGATAGGAAAAAAAAAGTTCAAAGGACAAAAAAAAGAGTTTTTCGGTTCAACCGGCACAAATACCAATGATGATCAACCCTTCCATATCGGAACATTTAAGAAAACTTCGCTCATCGACAGGGAGAGAAAAGGCCTCCCTTGAAGTATGATCATCACAGGGAGTGAAATTGGATCGACAGCTCATTTCCTATATGATACAAAGTGACCAGGATCAGTGGATATCGTTATGGGGTATGAGAGATAAGACACTCCATATATTATTATGTTCTACTATTATTATGCGCGTCCCGAGGGAAGAAAAAAGAAAGTGATCGCACTGCGGCAGAGAGAATTCGGGGGAAATGTCTCACCCAATATCTCGGGGTGGAAGGGAACCGATTACGGCAACCATTGGTCTCTTAAATCGAAGGCTTAAGGGAAAATCGCATACCAGATCGGGTACAGGGAATCAGAATTCCAAATGGTGTTCTTAATAGCTCTATTAAAGGGGGAAAGGCGCTCCCCTTGAAATCGGCTCGGTCCATAGCGATGACCAAATACCGATAAAGACAATAGACATACACAGGAAGTGATTTCTTACGCCTGTACGTCGTATTCCATAGGCTGTGGGAATTAAAGGGCAACCTTGACGTCAGTTTATTACGACTTGATTATTCTCCGGCCTAATAATTACCCCAGCCGGGATTTGCGTCTGGTTCCATGGGCCAGAGGATGATCTGCCCATGGTTCGTGCAGTGACTGTATAGCTACCAAGCCTTCTGTAGTTCTTGCGCTAGTGTTGTCTTCCATTGAACTGCCTATGCTGAAAGGTTGTAGCGTGCCCAAATAAAAACCTTCTGTGATTGTTTTCTCCGTCTCATAAGCCCCTCTGTTATTCCTATTATCTCCCAGAATCGTCAAAAATTACTGCAACTTCACTTAGCAAACTTCAACCAACGAACAAAAAGCCAATAGCAAATAGCAAATCAACCAACGTGAAGCATCACTTTAATTCTGAACTGCTTAACTGAACCACCATCCAGATTAAGCTCCTTGGACTTCCAGGCCTTCTGTAGTTCCTGAAGGACAATAGTTAGGTCGTGATCGACCCCCTGGCGGACACGAATTTCAAATTCCGACCATTCAAACTTGACGGAAGCTGCAAGGACCAGTTGCCCAGTCTGCCAGTCCGAGTTTTCAGTCAAGATCTGTCTGGATGGACTCCACTCATCCACTCTGCATTCAGCCGCCATGTGCCCCAAGAACGAAGATGCAGACGGGAAATTCTGAAAAGACACCCAGACAGGAGCCATTCCTTCTTGGTTCGAAGCCTCCACCAAGAACTTGGTATCATTCGGGTAGTTTCCCTCTTGATTACTCGCTTTTTCGGCAGTTGCGCCTGTCTTATCACCAGCATTGGTCCAATCCGCTTCCAGGCTGGTTGGTTCGGGAGGAACGTTACCTTTGTTCTCCTTGCCATGACCCCAGATGGAACTAAACGGGCGTATACCACTCGGTGCTGAGATTCTAGGCTTTTGGCTAGGGGGTTCTGAGGCGTCCATGCCCCAATCTGTTGTCTTACGTCTGTCGGATGCCCCTCTCTTGAGTTTATCTCCATCATTTGTGTGGTCCACTGCAGATCTGAAAACCTCCGGGCTTGAAGTTGATGTAGCATAGGGAGAATTCCCCCAGGCTGGTGGCACGGAAGCAGAAGTACGTCGAGTGGGCGTACTCAGCTATATATCCCCCATAAATGTCAGGTATATGTGGACAAGAAGAGGTGTTTCGCTACTGACCTCCATCGAGCCCGGCTTCTCTTTGTTCCTCATAGCACTGGTTGCCTTTCTTTCAAGCAAGAGAGCAACCGTCCGAATGATTCTGTGGATTAAACAGTAAGCATAAATAACGAGGCTAGACAAGGGAATCTCGGGCAGACTTACTCATCTTTCCGTTCTGGGTAGGTACAGAGAGATTCGGGCTCTTCAAAAGCCTCTGGTAGCAGGTAACTCTTGCGGGTTTCGGCGCCCCAGTATGTCATGCCGTACTTTTCCACAAATGTTTCAGCACATGAGCGCCTCTTGGACTCGAAGGATTGAAGCTCGTTCCAGCTGTACTTGGTGATCTGGACATGTTCGCGTAGGCGGTTTATGAACGCGGTGTGATAATCAAACTTCAAGTCCAGGAACGTAGTAAACTTTCGGTCGCGACACTTAGCGTTCAGACGACCTTCATCCAGATCACACGTCATGGGATGTGGCTCCATGGTCAGCATTTGGAACTCAGAAACAGGAGATAGAACAGAGTTGCTGCCTCCTGTGATTCCTAGCCCCGGAGGTGAGAGACACCAGGTAATGGGACACTGATGTAGACGCGCATACCATGTGCGGGGGAAGAAGAGTCATAGTATCTTAGGTAACGTAACAGCGGATGTAAAGTAAGAGGGGGGAGCTGGAGTGAATGATTCCATGCTTGAGGGCGTTGTGTTGCTATGGGAGATCAGCCAATAACAGAAAGAGCCTATTCAATCCATACTAGTATCTTCATGTCCCTTCGATTCCACTGGTCGGAACATCAAACTACTAGCACCAGTACTACTACTAGTAGTAGACAACTGAATTTCAAGTGCAGAACAAACTAAAAAGGCCCTACACCGCATTGAAGATGGCGTTGAGAAAACCAACAGACAGCTTGTCGGGAGAGGTAGAGCTAGTGTATGCCTTTGATACTGCATATAGTAAGTTCGAAAGCATCCAGAGGGAGAACCACTACGAAGCAAAGGAGGTACAGCAGTGTATATGAATCAGAACACCAATTGCGACTCGTTTTATAAAGCCAGTAATGTGCTTATATAGTCATCTCATCATTAATAGTCAAAGTAGAATAACAGCACAATCTTCAGAAAAGGAATCTTGAGTGAACTTCTCTAAACATCTTCATAAGAGACCCAGACCTAGAAGCACGAACGTGGAACTGTTCATACAACTTGGCGTTTGTATCAATGGGCGGGTCACTGAAGTGTAGCATTTGTGCTCTGCTGTCACTCAGCACCGAGACATTTCAAAGAGTTCCTGAGTTCCTTGATAGCTGTGTTGACATCATCGAATGTCAGGGCCGACACGGCCCAACGAGCGTGCTTCTGGGCAAGAGCAATGGAGTTATCATCAACTGCCTGTGAATTGGCATAGCTAGATGAGGGTGCTGTAGACGTTATATGTGTAGGTGCATGAACAGGTTGGGGTGCTGGGCGTGGTACCACAGGAGTTGCTGCTGGTGGGGATTGCGCAGGTTGGTGAGGTGTGGCACTAGGTTGACCATAGAAAGAACTGGGATCGCCAGAGGCAGCTGGTGAGCTCGGAGGAGACATTTTCGATGGTGGAGGAAAGGACTGAAAAGCGTCAGAAGCCCCTGAAGATTGATGGGTGCCAACACGTGTAGGCGTATCTGGAAGGTTAGGGACTGAGGTCGTAGATGACGTGAGTGTCGCAGGTGCTGAGGGGAGGTTCAGCGGTGCACCTTGCTCCGTGTCAACATCCATATCTTGAGCTGGGCTACGTGCGACATCATGCGATGGAGTAGGTGCTTCGGTGAAACCAGTTGGAGGCTGTGGTAAGGACGGAGATGGTCCAGAAGGATGCGTAAAACCCTCGGGGACGTCTTCCACAGACGGCTGTCTTGATTGTGTCGGCAGCGATCCAACAATTGCCTGGACCTCAGGGTCATCATTCTTCACATCCAAGTCATCTCTCCCTGTTTCCTCTTCCTCTTTCATAACTGGGTTCGACTCATTCGGGTCCTCGCCGGCCCTGATTGCCTTCGCAATCCTAACCGCATGATATTTGGCGAACTTGATTTTTGCAGCCGTCTCCGGCTCAAGAGGATTCCATATCTGGCATAGTTCAAGAAACGTGGCGGCTGCTTGGAACGTATCAGCAGTTTGTCTGCAATAAATTAGTTAATTCTTGTTTTTCTCGAAAGGCAGGGGAAAGGCAACGAACTTCGTCACCTTGTTGGCCCTCGTGGTTGCCTCTGCACGCCCAAAGATCTCCAAACCAAATTGCTCCACGTACGCATTTGCCGCAACGGCGTCCGTCACCGTATCGTTGTCGGGATTCTCATTTTTAAACTTAGAACGTCGAGATATTAGTCTCTAGTCAACATCGGGGGTTGATCGGGCATAGCTTGGTGTACTTTTTCCAGCTTATCCACAAGCTCTGTCGTGTATAGCTTCACTTCATCGTCAGAGGTATGTAGACCTCTCTCAATGATCTGGTTGACAATCCAGAAGTTGCCTGTGATCAGCAGAGGCCGCTTATCAGCTCGTAGTCCGCACCGGGCATAATCATACAGCACTCACACCAATAGGCGACCACGGGCTTTACACGTTCAAGCTGAGCTGCTCTGACGGCAAAGCGCCCAATATCCGCAGACTTCAGAGCAGCGGGAATGGTACTCGCCATGGAGGCTGCAAAAATAATGATTTATTCGGGGAAAGAGTTTCAATTGTTAAAGGTGGGGAGGCACAATGCACAATGCAAGCGGGATGACGTTGAAAGCTCTCGGAGGGGAATTCGGACCCCCGAGCCGAGGACTGAATTTATGCGGAGTAAAGCAAGCTAACTCGATTTTGGCGGTTTACGACAAACCGTCAGCCCTGAGGTTGCCAGCCCTGAGGTTGCTCTCGGAAATCAAAACCTATGTACCTTTTTTGACTTAGTACTACTAGTAATTAACAAGACCTGTATATTAACTTTTATTTTGGATTTTGGATTTGATTTTTTTTTTCTAGCATAGTAAAAAGGATACAACAGAAAAATGTCAAGTCTATCATCGTTTCCGCTCTTCTACTCTAACATGCTATTGAATATGACGATCCAAGAAGCTCAACCAAGAGCATTTAGAGCTTCTGTAGGATCGGATATCAGGCATCTTCAAGCATCCACTCCCCAATTTCAACCCTCTCTTCAGCCAAAGCTTCCACCTCAAAGTGGTCCTCGACCTGCCCTCCAGGACCTCCAATCCTCTCGATGACAATCCATATGCCACCACTCTCCTCTAGCCCTGGCTGCAAGTCAAAGTCCTCAACACGTACCCCCGATATGGCGTCACTGTGCGTTCCATCTTCCGAAGTCGCCAGAATTTGTTTATATGGTCCTTGCCCGAGCTCCACTGTCATTAACACGGGTGAAGGCCCAACAGGATGGCTTCCAATGACGGATTGCCTACTTCGGGTAATGAGCTTGATCCTCGTAAGCCGTGGCACTTGCAGAGAAGCCAGCATTCGGTCTCTCCCCGGAGGCAGTATGCCAATATCTGAAATGACCGTTCGTCGTCCTGCGGCCTCCGGTGGAAGCAGGCTCGCCTTGCAAGGAACTAATGAGGATATCCAGAGCGCGAATCGGCCAAGTTGATCCGATGCGAATGTGGAACAGACGATCGTATATGAGCCCGGTTCCAGAGCCGTCTTTTCCACAAGGGAGCCACCACGGCGATAGTCACCACTATCAGCGATAATGTCGCGGCTGCGTACACGCGACACACGACTTCCATTAGACCAGAATAATTTAACATGGGTTGCAAGTTCAGTGTCCGGGCATTCTAGGAGAAGTGAGATGTCTGTGACATTTTCTATCTCCAGCCTAAATTGAGGATTGAGCGGATAACGGGGAGATTCGGCATTCCCGCCTGCTGTGGAAGGTGTCCAAGAACCTTGAATCTTGCTCATGCACATGTATTTGTCTTGGGCTTTTGCCATCCGTACAGGGGATGTAGAAAAGGCAGACAAAGTAAAGTTTTGATTCAACGATGGCAGTGATTGCTCGGAGACCACGACTGTATAAGTTGTTCTGGGGGGCATCTCTAACCTCATGAGCGTATTAGGAGAATCCACATAGGGGCCACGATGTAGAGCCCCGTCACTCAAAGAGACCCGTTTGCCATCTGCGTTAAAAACATATATGCTTATAAAAGCCGACTCTTCATTTGCTTGGTATTCATCAAGGGGTCGTTCTGGCTGCCCAGTTGTTCTGAAATGCTTGCCCAGCAGTAACCAGACAATCCCACCGCTCTGGGTTGACACTGCAAACTGCGGGTTATTCACAAAGCAGCCGGCTACGCCTCTCCCGTTGTTGAGATCCCACGTAAAGTGGACGTCTTCGCGGTATTTGAAAATCTCAGGGTTCCAATTCAGATAGAGGTTTTCAAAATGCTGAAGCAGCTTTTCGCAATCCATCCAGAAGGTACCCGGCTCAAATGAAGGTGGGTTATTGGGTAAATCCTGGGATGCAGAGAGGCTTCCATTGTCTCCGGAAGCAGTATCTGCTCCAGCCCAAGGGTTTTTCACGAGTAATTGACGGCGCCCTTTAGATTCCTTCATATCCAGTATGGCATAGTCATGCTCACTCACGAGACCTAGCTCTCTTTGTTCCCTCTCGGTGAGTTCACCGGTACCTATAGTCAAGAGAACATCTCCTTGGTGAAACGATCTGTAAAGTCGCTTCCAAAGCTGGTCGCCAGTCACGTCGTCATTATGGAGAAAAACTTGCTCGGGGATCCAACCTGTCAGTACCCAGAGATCTGTCCCGGAGTTGCTCCCAGGAAAATCATAGCCTCCGCGCAATTTCAAGTACGCCTTCTCTACTAGCGCAGGCCATAGGAAATGGGGATTTTTCCGGTCGATCACATGGAGTGATCTTGACGATTTAGACGATGGTAACCGGTCGTCAATGACGACTTTTCGAAAGCACCCATTGAAATAAAAGCGAAATATATACTTGCCTGACGGTGAAGGCTGAGGGCTCCCCCGGCTAGGGTATATCACTGGAAGAAAATGCTGCAACCTATCAGTCACAGCGGATCAGCTGGAAAGGGTCAGCCTGCTTACAATACACTGGCCCCGTTCTAACATTGATGTAGTAGCACAAAGGCTAGCAACGACAGAACAGTCCGTTAGCATATCCTGGACTAGATCTGTTTTCCCTGGAACAGACATCACAGGAACCACTCCAGTGTACACATCTTCCGTGTATTTCGAGAGAAGCTCGGAAGGTCGTTTCCAGCCATCAAAAACTTTCCTCTGAGGATAAGAAAGATGAAGATCGGGTTTGTCGCTGATATCAGTTAGAATATCCAGCAGCCATCTGAGTATACATGCAGCATTGACAAGCCAGATCACCAGAACTTACGTAAACGGGGATTCACCATCCTCTCGTTTGAAGTCGTCAGAGCCTGGGGCGATGGACCATGGAGGGAATATGAAGCCATTCAACTTGGCTCCCTCTAGAAGAATGATCTCCTCCCGAGTGGTGAGCTTACGAGTAGATACGGGCAACCGTGGCTCCGGGACAGTTCGGTCATGGAGACGGGCGGCAGCTTGCCAGTCCTTGGATTCTTTGATCTTTTCCGCTCTTGTGAGCCATTCTTTACATTTTGCATCCAATTCATGTTTGTCTTTCTGGACGGATGCCAGTTTCAATGCTTTCATATAGTGCTCAGCAGCATCAATGGCAGCTTCTAAAGCTTGCCTTTGAGAAGTGGCAGACGATACATCCCGCTCGGCTTTCTAGCCAGTGGTCAGTATCGTGGTAAAACAACTAAGGTACAGCACTAAAAAATCATAAAAGGGAAGGAAAAGAAAGAAGAAAAGAAAAAAGGTCAAGTACCAGTGCCTGAGTAATAAAGGACTTCTGGGTTGCGGCGTTCGGTCTAGACATACTGGCACGCGGGGCAATAGTTTGATGAGCGCCTGGGATCTTCAAGCACCGTGACACTCCGAGATCTTCCCCGCGATAGGCATAACAGTTCAACTAGCGTCTATCCGACTAGACAGGACAGTCAGACACCTTGCTTGTGACCCGTCCGAAGGGCCCCGTGAAATTTCCGAAGGAGCGACATCCGAGGTCGATCTCACTTCCTTTGTCAAGTTTTATCAGGGCCCAATCAAGGCTCTGATGATTATCGCGAATGGCAATCAATTGTTATTCATGAACTTAATTTAGTCTCAATTCACTCGCAGTGGAATGAGGTCAAAACAACCAAAGTATGCTTGCTGGATCATTCACTAGCGTGTCGGTGGGGAGGAACGGGAGTTCAAAGGTCGGTGTCAGTTCCAGAAATTGGCCTCCAAATGAACCTCGGCTCATTTCGTCATGCGCAATCCAGAGCACCGAGGTGCAACTACCCTGGCCCTGCCGACTCTATCCTTCCCGCATTTTACGTTCAGAATGCCGGGACTGTGTGATCAGTCTTGAGGTTCTTCTTTTTTTTTCTTTTCTGGTTTTCTTCTTCTATCCTTGCTTAAGCTCTTCCCCTCACTCTTGCTGCTTGAGAGCTGGGGTCTTTTCACCTTACTCGGCATTCAACTTTTCTATCAGTCGATTCGGTAAGTCTTCAGGCCGAACGCTAAACCCCCGAAATCGCACAGAGCCCTACCTCATTCGCCGGTCTTGGTTCTACCAGTATCTCTGCTTTTAAACTACTAGTATTCTTTCTGACGGAATTGGCAGAGGTAGTTTAGCTCATCCTGCATAATGGCCGGCCAATCGAAACCCGCGCTCTCCCCTTGGGGTAGCGCTGTCGCAGGTGCAACTGGTGCCGTTCTCGCCAATGCCATCGTCTATCCACTGGACCTGTGCGTACATAGCCTTGCCAGTTAGGCTAGAGGTGTGAATACAACCTATGAATACAAACTGACTCGTTTCTGATCTTTAGTGTCAAAACCAAACTTCAAGTCCAAGTGAAGAACACACCTGAATCGAAAAGCGGAGATGCAGAACATTACGAGTCGACCCTAGATGCCATCAACAAAATCATGGAAAAAGAGGGGATTGAAGGGTTATATTCCGGGATGGTTGGTTCTTTGCTTGGTGTTGCTTCAACCAACTTTGCGTACTTCTACTGGTACAGCGTGGTTAGAAGCCTTTATATGGCATCGAAGAGCGTATCTAAGCCACCGGGAACCGCTATGGAGCTTACCCTTGGTGCTGTGTCGGGGGCTATCGCTCAGATCTTCACTATTCCAGTTGCTGTTATCACAACCAGACAGCAGACACAGCCAAAGAGCGAGAAGAAGGGTCTGATCGAGACTGGTAAGGAGGTTGTCAATAGCGAAGATGGCTGGTCGGGTCTATGGAGAGGTCTCAAGGCCAGTTTGATACTGGTTGTCAACCCGGCAATTACCTACGGTGCCTATCAACGTCTGAAGGAGGTACTTTTCAAAGGAAGGAACAATCTGAAGCCCTGGGAGGCTTTCCGTAAGTAGTGTCAAGGCTTTAATCCCTTCATACGAAACTAATTAATACCGCAGTCCTGGGTGCTCTTTCCAAGGCAATGGCCACAATTGCAACCCAGCCATTGATCGTGGCCAAGGTTGGCCTTCAGTCGCGGCCACCCCCTGGTCGCGAAGGCAAGCCCTTCAAGACCTTTGGTGAGGTTATGCGATATATCATTCAGAATGAGGGCGCGCTGTCCCTCTTTAAGGGTATTGGGCCTCAGATCTTGAAGGGTCTGTTGGTGCAGGGCTTGTTGATGATGACAAAAGAGAGGTATGTGCCGCATTCGGTAGCTGGATGTGTACTGGGGCATGAGCTAACGCCTTGAAGGATGGAACTCATTTTCATCGTTCTTTTCGCATATTTGAAGAATCTTAGACAGCAGAAACTAAAGAAGGTCGTCGATACTGCTGCAGCTAACGCTAAAACCAGCCTTCCGGTGACCTTGAAATAGACGTCGTTCTCACTTTCCTTCCATTATATACCAACTAGCCGGTCTTTTTTGTTCTTGTCAATTATCTTCTATACGGCGTGCGGGTTCCGGATCTGTCAATTTTTCCTACTTCTTATGATTACTAGGCATAGTTTTTTCTGTATCTTTGCCAACTATGATGTATAGAACATGTCCTACAGGATGGACATAATCACAAGATAGATCTGCCGAATGCAAATCATCTGAAAGACAGCAAACGCGGGCGAGTGGTATACATAGTGGAGACGGACCGTCTGATATCCAGATTGACACGAATACTGAGCATGGGCAACTATATAGGCACATTGAAAAACATGAATCCTTGCATTCGGCAATTGATCGATTTTTCCAAAAGAAAAACTCCCCGAAAATAATTTCTTCATGGTTGTACGGAGTAGTGAACATATATTTATATAGTATACCCTAATTCCACCCGACCGCCCGGCTAGCCTTAAATAAATACATTCCCTCGGCAACAACCATGTTATCTCCGGAGTAGCGGTCACAATTACATTTCCACCATTCCACCTCCAACGCAGCTCATCCGCCAAACACCAATTACGAGGGGCATGAGCCGTCATGCGATGGCCGCCATGGGCTTCCGAATCGCAAGCCCGAGAACAACAAGATGAACAAAACAAAAAGAACTGGGACAAATCCCTCAATGCGATCGACTGGGCTGCATTTACCGAACCCAGGACTCTAATTCCCACCCTGATCCTCACGACAGGAATCGTCGGCGCACTACAGATCCACCGCCGATATCTGCGTCGTTTCCCCGATGCCGTTAGCATTTCACCATCGTACTTCCGGAAGAGGACCATCCTGGGCCAAGTGACGAGTGTCGGCGACGGCGATGGTTTCAGGCTATACCACACACCTGGAGGAAGACTAGCGGGATGGGGTTGGTTGCCCTGGAAGAGAGTTCCCACCGCTAAGAAGGACCTAAGGGATAAAACGGTGCGGTGATAGTATTTTGCTTATTTTTTTTTATATCTCGGATAAGAGGTCTAATGGGTTATGTTTAGATCTCCGTTCGCTTAGCTGGTGTGGATGCGCCGGAACTCGCGCATTTCGGTCGCCCGGAGCAGCCTTATGCTCGAGAAGCTCATGAATGGTTGACGTCGTACGTTCTTAATCGCCGTGTTCGGGTCTTAGTGCATCGTCAGGACCAGTATCAGCGTGTGGTGGCCTCTGCGTATGTGCGACGGGGCCTCGATTTCCCGATTCCTTTTCGTCGTCGTGATGTGTCGTATGAGATGTTGACGCGGGGATTGGCTACTGTGTATGAGGCGAAGGCGGGTTCGGAATTTGGCGGCCCTGAGCTGGAACGGAAGTATAGAGAGGCGGAAGCGATAGCAAAGCAGAAGGGTACGGGCCTGTGGAAGGGTTATCGTCGCAATCGCAAAGGGTGGGAGAGTCCGCGTGAGTACAAGACTCGTATGGGATTAGAGGAGTCACAGGGTAAGGGCGATTAAGAAAGAGGACGGACCAAGCTGTGTATATTAGAAGGTATGTGCCCGTATGTTTATTCTGTACATTCGATAGCGATTTATTCTTATGACTGGACGGTTGATATCTACGGTTACGACCGACACGGTGACGCACTTAGAAAAGCATAGGCTATGGCAGGGCCAATCTAAGAATTGCATTTTCTTTTCTTTCGATCATGCTAGCATTATTAGGTGTATCTTAACACAAACAGCATGGCCTCCTCAACGGGAGGTACATAACTATCTCGCATCATAGCCCTTGACAGGTCGTAGAAACGTTTGACGCCAAACAGAACATCGTAAAAATAGAAGTACAGGGAGGTATCGAACGGTGGTATATTCAAATACAAGGAAATATTAGCAAAACCTCTTTTCTACCTCCGCGAAAAGCTGTGGGCTAATCTCATCACTAGTGTTGCCCTCAACACGCCATAGGCAGCCCTTGCGCTCGTAATGTTGGAGCAAGGGCTCGCTGGTTTCTTCGAATTTGCGAAGTCGTTGCTTCCATGTGTCAATCGAGTCGTCTTCTCTCTGAGTCAGAGGTTCCCCAGTAATATCGTCCTGTCCAGGAACCTTGGGGGCGTTGAAATCGGTGTTGTATACCCTTCCGGACGGCTCGTGGACCCAGCGAGATGCTATCCGGGAGAGAATGATGGATGGAGGTGTGACAAGTTGGACAACGAAATTGATAGGGACAAGTGTTTCTAAGCTGGAAGCCTGAGTAGCGGTGCGCGGGAAACCGTCAAGGATAAATGAGGCGTTGGAGGAGATCGATGCGTTCGACGATGTTGAGAGCCAGCCCTTCGATTTGAATTCGGAAGATATAAGCTCGAGGATTAATGAATCGGGGACGAGGTTTCCTGCCTGCATTGCAGCCTCTGCTTTGAGTCCTGCCAGCAATTATTAGGCACAGTGTCTAAAGCGCACATGATCTTGCCTGCTTACCCAATGGTGACTTCTTCCGGACATTTTCTCGTAAGAGGTCTCCGGAACTTATCGAGGCCAGTTGCGGAAACTTGGCAAGAAGCCTTTCTGTTTGGGTGCCCTTTCCAACGCCAGGGGCGCCGATGAGGATGATACGAGCAGCCTTACTGAGCTGCCTAATTGCGAGCGTCATTTCACCCTACTCTTTTGCGACTTGGAATGGCAATGTTTCTGGGATTTAGAGCACCGGGCTAAATGTTGAGCGGAGAGTGGAGAGTGGAGAGGTTGGTGAAGAGTGCGCGCGCTAGTTTAAAATCATTCCGACATTATTTCGGCAAATGTAGGAAGCAAGGAAGATATATTATGTATGTATGTTAAATTGGAGGGGATGATTTGCTTTGTGGACCTTTAGATCTGTACTCGGGATTATCTACTCAACAGTTCGGATTTTACATCAGGCCGGGGAAAGCCAACCCCACGGAATCTCGATGTTTTCCTGTTTAGGAAGTCGGTGAGCGGAGGGAGAGCCGGAGAGGGTTACGACTTAGTAGTACGCAGTAGTTGAAGGGACTCCGTAAAAGCAGACTTATCTCGAGTAATCGAACGTATATCAACGGTCTCAGAAGGCGCCTATTGCTTGCGCGACCGCGATAACCCGATCTATATACAACTGATTCACATGCATAACCCGGTGTTATGTCCGTGTGTCCCATGGGCCCTCCACTCAGTCCAATGCTTTCCCTCGGCTAGTGAAGGTAATCCACTTTACATCACGTGATATGAAGCGCGTGTAGATCGCGTGGCGCGTCGGGACCGTGTTTAGCCCGGACAGAGCATAGAAGCCTGGTTGTCAAGGAACGCTGTGTATACACCCTTGACTGATATAGGTCTTGCGACTGTGTGGGCTCAAAATGATTCGGCAAGATTTCCACAAGATCGATCCGAAGAGGAGAGCAACTCTCGACCATAAGAAAAAGCAATTTGCTACTCCAGTCTTCAAACAACAAGATTATCCGCACCGCTTAAACTTCTATGAGGTCCCACCAACGGCAGAGATTACTCTCGAGCAATTCGAGCAATGGGCTATTGATCGGTTGAGGAGTATGTGCGCTCTGCCTTCTGCTTATCTGTGTAAACATATTGACCGGTGCAGTCCTGGCCGAAATCGAGGCCTGTTCGTATAGAAACAAATCGCCCGCCGAGACAGAAGCACATATCACACCGCTCCTCCAGAAATATCTTCCACTATCCTCAAACACTTCTTCGTCGCTAGGTGCGGCCGATCAACGCTTGAAAAATGAACGACAAAAAGATCACTATTCGCATTTCATTCTTCGTTTGGCCTTCTCCGCCACAGAGGACCTCCGTCGGCGATTCGCACGAGCCGAGACCATGCTTTTCAGGTTCCGGTTCCAAAAAGATGATTCACGAGAGAGACGTGCTTTTATAGAGAGCCTCAATCTCGACTGGGAGCCTGTTAGTGATGAGGAGAGGCGTGAGCTTTCCGAGCATCTTGTGAATGCGACACCGGGGTTACGCCGTGTTGACGAAGAATCTTGGTATAAGGTTAATTGGGAGAGAGTTCCGGAGTTGGTGGAGAGACGGTCTGTCTTCTTATATAGAGGAAAAGCGTATGTACCAGGAAGGGAACAGTTGAGCATGATTATTGCTGAATTCACGGCTCGGTTAGAGCGTTCTTTGGAGGTATGTGCAACCCTGCGCCATGCTCAGAGCAAAACCATTGACTATGAATAGCTCACGAGTCGAGCCCTGCCACGTTTGGACGAAGATGATCGTCTCACGCCGATCTTGAATCACCTGTCTAAGAACTTTGGGAGTGCCGAATCCGTATACTCTGAGGGAGAAGGAGTTGTTGATGGCGCTCCCATCACTGCAAACAACATCGATCAGCTTTCCCAACATTTCCCACTCTGCATGCGCAGCCTACATATGTCACTGCGGAAGAACAACCATCTAAAGCATTACGGCCGACTTCAATATACCCTCTTTTTGAAAGGGATCGGCTTATCATTGGAGGAGTGTATCGTTTTCTGGCGTCAATCATTCAAAGGATTTACCGACGACGAATTCAATTCCCGGTACAAGTACAACATCCGTCACGCCTATGGCGATGTGGGCGGTGATGTCAACCGCAGAGGTCGCGGTTATCCTCCTTACTCATGCCAGAAGATCCTGGGTGACTCAAACCCAGGAGTTGGGCAGACACACGGCTGTCCTTATCGTCATTTCTCCGTTGACAACCTCATTGGGCTTCTTCAGTCCACTGGCATTAGTGACAGAGAATTACTGCGTGGGGTGCGGGAAGACGTGGAAAAGACTCGGTATCATATCGCTTGCAACAGGGTGTTCGAGTGGACGCACAAGGCAGAGATCAAGCGAGTAAAAGAGGACGGAACTTGGAATCAGACGGATCTGGACACCATTGTCCATCCTAACACATACTTCAAGCGCAGTTATCTCCTCAAGCAGGTGGGGAAAGCTTCAAGGAAAGCTTAAAAGCTTGTTAAATGCACTTTACGAATCTGTAGTCGCTTGACTTTTCACTTGCACACAGTTGTACATGAGGCGTTGATGGGTTCGGTTTATTGGACGTCACAGCCAGGCAGTCTTTTCCTTAGGTAGAAATCTACGTGTAAAACTAATCTGCATATTGTAATGCTGTCCTTCATTTTCCACCGCTTCCATGCCGATTAAATGGCTAAGGAGGGTCATGATGTGACCACAGCTGATTCCCAAATTATCCGAAAGGATCGGAACGACCTTTCAAATCCAGGTGCCCAGCAACGGGTCAGGTTACTCTTCACTCGATGCGAAAGAACAACTTCGTCATTGAAATGGACGGAAGCTGCCAAAAATTCAGACGTATCGGCGATATATAGATGAGAAAAAGAAAAGGAAGAAAAATTGGCTGCCGACGGATTTGACCGAAATTTAAAGCACACTAGTGCGGAAGTACGGTTGCGCATAGCCACCTAACATGCTGCAACCTGGCCTTATGGCAACAACACAGGTTCACACAACATACTCCTAGTCCCCGCATAAGTCTCCGGACAACAGCTGTTGGCGTTGCCCTTTTAGAGACCGGGTTATGGTACTGGATACTCTTTCACACTTTTAATTTGCTTAATCAACCGCATTTCTTTTTCCAATCTTGTTCTTTAGATACCCCTCTCATACGACGAAGCTACCGAGCCCCGTTGTTTGCCCGACAACATGGACTACGAAGCGTTAAAGGACCAATGGAGTGATGTCGAGGATCGCGATGGCATCAGACTGAGCTGGAACACGTTTCCAAGCTCACGCATGGTTGGTTTCGACGTCAGGCATCGCGAGATCCTTTTGACTAAGTAGTGCATAGGAAGCATCTCGGCTGGTCGTCCCCATTGGTGCTGTGTACACTCCGCTCAAAGACAAGCCAGACTCTCCTTTGCTGCAATATGAACCGGTGACCTGCAAAGCACCTTGCCGGGCCGTTTTGAATCCTTATGCGTAGGAGATGCACCCCAGCATACAATTTGTTTAGGGACTAACGACCAATAGCAACGTTGATGTCCGTGCCCGGATCTGGATATGTCCATTCTGTCTGATGCGCAACCCCCTTCCCCCTCATTACAAGGATATCACCGAGAGCACGATACCGCCAGAGCTTCACCCTCTAAGCACGACTATCGAGTACCAATTGGCACGCCCCGCCCCTACCCCTCCCATCTTCGTATACGTTGTCGATACTTGCCAGGAAGAGGACAGCTTGAAGGCTTTGAAGGATACTTTGGTGATGAGCTTGTCTCTGCTGCCAGCAAATGCGCTAGTGGGATTGATCACATATGGTACTATGGTATGAACCACGAATTTGGACGATGGGAGCAACGCGAGGATAGATTGTTGACCCTACCACAGGCTCAAGTCCACGAGCTAGGCTACACCGAATGCGCTAAATCATACGTGTTCCGAGGCAGCAAAGAATATGCCGCTAAGCAAGTCCAAGAGATGCTTGGTCTCCTTTCTGCTGGAGTGCGTCCGAACATGCCTCAACAACCGGCTCGCCCGCCTCTTGGTCCCGCCGCACGATTCCTTCTCCCTGTCCAGCAGGCTGAGTTCCAGATCACCAACGTTCTTGAGCAGCTTCAGCGTGACCCATGGCCCGTTGCGAACGACAAGCGACCTCTGAGATGCACGGGTGTTGCTCTTAGCGTTGCAGTTGGCCTGCTTGAGACCTCCTTCCAGAATGCCGGTGGCCGCATCATGGTTTTTACCAGCGGCCCGGCAACTGAGGGTCCAGGTCATGTTGTTGGACCCGAACTTAAGGAACCTATGCGTTCTCATCACGATATCGATCGGGATAACATCAAGTACTATAAGAAAGCCGTCAAGGTAAGCAATTTCCGCTATAATGAGGGATATTGGTATGCTGATAGGGATAGTTCTACGACACCATGGCTAAGCGAGCTGCCAATAATGGACATATTGTGGATGTCTTTGCGGGATGTCTCGACCAAGTTGGTCTTCTGGAGATGAAGAACCTTGTTAACTACACTGGTGGTCATATGCTCCTCACAGATAGCTTCACGTCCTCACAATTCAAGCAGTCCTTCGTCAGAATCTTCGACAAGGATGCTAATGACAACTTGCTGATGGGCTTCAACGCATCCCTCGAAGTGCTCACTACGAAGGAGCTCAAGGTCACAGGGCTTATTGGCCACGCGGTATCTCTGAACAAGAAATCGAGTTCCGTCGGTGAAACGGAGTGCGGTATTGGCAATACGTGTGCCTGGAAGATGTGCGGCATTGACCCTTCTTCGAGCTACGGTGTCTACTTTGAGATCGCAAACCAAGGCGGGCCTGCGGCAGTGCAGCCAGGTCCTCAGAGAGGAATGATGCAGTTCCTTACATACTACCAGCATTCGTCTGGTCACTACCACTTGCGGGTCACAACTGTCGCACGCAACTTGAGTGGGCCTGCTGGAGACCCTACTCTGGCACAATCTTTTGACCAGGAAGCCGCTGCAGTTCTGATGGCGCGTATTGCAGTATTCAAGGCAGAGGTCGACGATGGTCCCGATGTCCTCAGATGGGTTGACCGGATGCTCATCAGGCTCTGCTCCCGCTTTGCGGATTATAGAAAGGACGACCCAACATCATTCCGACTTGAGAAGAATTTCACGCTTTATCCTCAGTTCATGTTCCATCTCCGCAGAAGTCAGTTCTTGCAGTTCTTCAACAACTCCCCTGATGAGACAGCCTTTTACAGACACGTTCTAAACCATGAGGATGTCGGTGACTCCCTTGTCATGATTCAGCCGACCCTGGATTCATACTCCCTGGAACATGAAGGCAGCCAGCCTGTCCTTCTTGACTCGGCTTCCATCCAGCCTTCCCACATCCTTCTGCTTGATACTTTCTTCCATATCCTTATTTTCCACGGTGAAACCATCGCAGAATGGAGAAAGGCCGGCTATCAAGACCAAGAAGGCTATGAAAACCTGAAGGTCCTTCTTGAGCAACCCAAAGAGGACGCTAGAGTTCGTACCTCCCCATCAGGATCCAGTAAAATATGAGCTAATTCGGTTTCAAACAGGAACTCATTTCGGATCGCTTCCCACTGCCTCGTTTCATCGTTTGTGATGCTGGCGGCTCTCAGGCACGTTTCCTTTTGTCAAAGCTGAACCCATCTACCACACACACGACAGGAGGATATGGTGGTGGTGTGACATCGCAAACCATTTTCACCGACGATGTTTCCTTGCAAACATTCATGGACCATTTGATGAAGTGAGTATCACAAAGTCGATAAGATTAACAGTACATACTAACTTTTGTACGTAGGCTTGCGGTTTCAGGAACCAGCTAGATACGACGGTGTAGTGACCATTAAAGGGCGGTTCTACGTCGATACTTGGTTCTTCTGTATGTTTAGCGGCTATTTGTTTTTGTTTGTTACCCCGCGGTATAGCAACTACCTAGACACAATGAATTAAATTCAAATGAATTCTACTGAATCCCAACTTCTACGCACTCCACTTGCCTATTCCGGGACTCTGGAATGGGGCCTTCATGCTTCATGACAGATGTCACGTGATGATAGACGGGTTGAGCCCTGGCCACCTTACCTGATTGGGTGTCTCGCTTAGGCCTAGCCCGGAAAGTGAATCTCCAGTCAAATATCCTGCGCTCTTTCAAGAAAAATTTCCTTTTCTTCTTTGTACCATCCACCCCGACCAACTCTCCAAGGACGATTGACGACCTTTCGCACTCGCCATGCGTAAGTATCATCTCCTTGGCTGTAATACTGGCGACTAATATGTTATTCAATGGACAGCTCCCAAGTTCGACCCCAATGAGGTGAAGATCATTCACCTGCGAGTGACTGGTGGTGAGGTCGGAGCCCAGTCTGCTCTGGCTCCCAAGATCGGTCCTCTCGGTCTGTCCCCCAAGAAGATTGGTGAAGATATCGCCAAGAACACTGGTGACTGGAAGGGTCTGCGTGTCACCGTCAGACTCACCATCCAGAACCGTCAGGCCGCCATCTCCGTTGTGCCTTCCGCCTCTTCTCTGGTCATCAAGGCCCTCAAGGAGCCTCCTCGTGACCGTAAGAAGGAGAAGAACATCAAGCACAGCAAGTCTGTCGCTCTTGACGAGATCATCGAGATCGCTCGCAAGATGCGCCACAGGTCTTTGGCCAAGGAGCTTCAGGGTACCGTCCTTGAGATCCTCGGTACCGCTTTCTCTGTTGGTTGCCAGGTCGATGGCCGCAGCCCTAAGGATATCAGCGATGAGATCAAGGCTGGCGAGATTGACAGTATGTTGAACTCCATTTTAAGTTGCCTTTGATATACTAACCATCGCCTAGTCCCCTCCGAGTAAATTATGGTCGGAAATCCGCGGCGGTCGTCTTAATGTATCGGCATGCTAGTTAGGAGAATACGATTAATGCCTTGACAACAAAATGTTTATGAGTCATGACCTAAGATTCCCAAATTGTGTTCAATCGAAAACTGATTCGTTCATCACTGGACACCTTACCCTGTCTTCCCCATCCTCCCATCTGTTTGTGATTTACTCGCGGTCTATATGCGAGCGGAGTCATGACCAGACTATACCCCAGATAACCTTTGCAACACTCTGGCCCTTACCGTCCATTCCCGCCTTCGGGCCTGGTATGTGACTTCTTTCAACGTGGTATAGGCTTATTTTACGCAAAGAAGATCAAATTTCGACCCACTACTCATCGCGGTATCTTTGCGAGGGGCCTCGTGCCACTCTCTGTGGATACAGTGATCCATCATCACGGTCAACAACCTAAGGCTTAATGCCTAGCCTATTACGGCTTGTCTGATTCGTAGCTATACTTCGTAATATCTGCAATGCAACTTTTATCCATTTTTTCCACTTCAGCTCTCCACTGTGCCTGACCATAGTTGTAATTGCTTGTCCCACGCATTATCTGAATGTATATGCAACTAAGACTACAAGTAGTCTTGAAAACTTAAACATCTAAC